CACGTGGAGCAAGAGATTGAGGCATGGACCAATACTGTCCCGGTAATGGTGGTGGTGGGTAATTATGTGTGAACTGCTGGTAAGGAAGTGGATAAGCTGTCATCATCTGAACGGCACCGCGGGGAGTACTAGTGGAAGAACCTGAACCTCGAGGATAGCTAGCTGTCGAAGAGGTTGCTGAATAGGAGCTCGGCTTTTGCCACTTGATGATAGAATTTGGGTTACGCTTACATACCAACTCCATGTGTCCAGCCTTGCCACACCCACGACATGCCTCAGTAAACCCACACTCTGCTGAATGGTGATTCTTTCCACACTTAAAGCAAAATAGCCCTTTCCCTGGTACAGGGTGAATCAACTGAGACTTCGTAGGACGTGAAGCTGCATTAGGCTGAGAACCCCACTGCCTAGGTTTGGATGATGGTTGAGTGACCTGATTTTGTTTGTACTTCTTGAAAGGTGGTCGCTGCGAGTTCTCACCCCCTCCCTAATGGGCTCTCTTCTGCTCATTACCAGTGACATTGCCAGAACGATTCTTCTGTGCAGTAGTAATTTGGAGCTCAACCTCCATCCCTCGAGCCTCCTCAACTGCATTGAGGTATATAGTAGGTGGGTTTCTTCCCATCACTTCTCTATATCGGGCAATGAGCCCTCGAGAAAACTTTCTAGCCTTCTCACGCTCATCACTTGCCACGTTAGGCACAAAGCGTACAATACTGTTGAACTCCCGTTCATACTCATCAACAGTCTTGCTTCCCTGTTGGATATTGTTTAACTCATTACTCATCTTGTCCCTAAATGATTCTGGATAATACTTAGCTCTGAACTGCTGAAGAAAAACTTCCCAAGTAATAGCACCACGGTCAGGGTTCCACTCTTCAACAACTCCATCCCACCAAATGTCCGCCTGACCAGTCAACTGAAAAGGCATGAAAGTAACCTTCTCCTCAAGAGTCATTCTAGATCCCCTCATATACTTCTCCATCTTGTGTAACCAGTCTGCAGCATTAACGGGAGTACCAGACACATCAAATGTGTCTAAGCGCATGGATGTCCATCTAGTGAGTGTCATCCCCTTTCACGCCCAGAAGTTTCCCTTTTTTTTTCCTTGCTTTAAATATTTGTTAAATAAATCGTCCGAAGAAATTATCTTAACCTAGAGCTAAATCCCTAGTTAATAAATGCAATTAATAATCGGAAATAGCGTGGTGGAATTTTTCTTGAGTTCCCCATGCTCCAATGCATTAACAAGATTTTTAGTGGAATTTTCAGAGCCTTGGAAATAATTTTAACCAATTAAAAATGAGCAAGCGCAATATTTTTAAATCCCAGGAAAAATCCTTTCTTCTTTTTCTTTTTCTTTTCCTTCTTTTTTCTCTTTTGGGCCGTCGGCCCACTCCCTCCCGCGCTCGGCCTCCTTCTTTTGGGCCGGCCCGTTCCCCTTTCCCCTCCCTGAAGTCCTCCCTCCCTCCCCTCTCTCCGGGACGCTGACAGGTGGGGCCCACCTGTCAGGTCGTCCCCTTCCTCCAGCCGCCCGCCCCACGACGGCAACCGCCGCCGAAACCGTCCGCGCCGCCGCCTTCTTCGCTCCTCCCGCGCCCACGCCGCGCCGCTCCCGCGTCCTCCCCACGTCGCCGCCCTCTCCCCCGCATCTCCCGGCCCTCGCGCGTGCTCGCAAGGGGCGGGATTCGAATTTGAATCCCCCCCCATTCTCTCTCTCTCCACCCCCACGTCGCCGGCCAAATCGGCCACCTCCCCGGCCACGTCCGCCCCCTCCCGCACCTATAAATCACTCCCCACGTCCCCCTCTCTCGTTTTTCGCACTCGCCGCGCCCTCCCGTGCTTCCTATCGTCGCCGCGCCGCTCGCCCCTTGCGCCGCCGCCTACCGCCGTCTCCGGCCGCGCGCCACCGCCGCTAGAGCCGCTGCCGCGCCGTGAAGCCACCGTTGTCGCGCTCGCGGGTGCCGTCCGCTCCTCAGCCACCGCTTGGTTGCCGCCAATCACCCCCGAAGCCCCGTTTCCCTCGCTCACCGGTGAGCTCTCCTTTTTCATCCATCCCCGGCCGGCCACTTTGGTCGTTGCGGTCGTCCTCTCCACCCCTAATCCCTCTCCTCCTTTCCTATAGGTGTCGCCTCCGCCCGTCCGCCCCTCCTCGTCGCCGGGTCACCGCCGCCTTTCATCCTCCGCTCTGGTCGCCGTGCTCGCCGGTGAGGCTCCCCTCTGCTCCCCTTTTTCCCTCTCTCCCGTGTGCGCCGCCGTCCTTCGCGCGTGCGCCGTCGCCTTCGGCCGCTGCCGCCGCTTTTCGCGCCGCCCGCCGCCGCCTCCCACGCCGCCGGTTGCTGTCGCCGGCGACCGCATGCCGCCGCCGTTCGCCATGCTTGCCGGCCGGCTTGAAGCCGAGGCCGAGCCCGGTGGCTGCTCCCTGCACCGTCCGATCGGCTTGGGCCGATCCGGACCCTTGGTCCCGTGCACCGGCCGCCTTGAGCCGCTGACATGCGGGCCCCGCTTGCCGGCGCCCCCCCCCTTGGATGACGTCAGCCCTGGGTATTATTGCGCAATAATTAATTAAGGACTTTTTCTTTATTAGTAAAAACACAGTTTATCTTCTAAAATTCATAAGTAATTCATCCGAGCTCCGTTTAAGTCCATTCAAGTCTCAGTAAATCAAGAAAAATGCAAAGAATCCATTAAAAATGGTTTTGTTTCCTGTTTCAGTAGTCTTATAGCGTGTTTTGCTTGTGTGCTTTGTTTGTCGCGTAGGTTTCGACCGTTTCGTCGATCCGCGGTTTCTCGAAGACGTTGCGGTGGACTCAACAGTGCGAGAGCAAGGCAAGTCATGCAATACGTTTGATCATATTGTACCCAATTTACCAATATCCCGCATTTCTATTAAATGTTGCATTGTCTTACAATGTAATGTGGGATGGGTCCTATTCCTCAGCCACATATTGGTTACCTTATGCCATTGATAACTTGGGTATCGAAATGACTAGATGTTGGCTTAGGAAATGCTTAGCCATGCTTAGTTCAACTAGTACACAAATGGGGATCACATTATTACATAGACTCTGACTATTGGCATAGCTTTAGATTGGTGCCACCGCAAGGGTGTCAGTTAATTAAAATATTCTGAATGGCGGGCTGTGAGTGCATGGTTTTGCTGGTCGCACCCATAGCAGTTAAGGACCGGTTCACGGGAAACCCTGGGAGACTTACCGTGCTTACCACAAGCGGGAGTGGGTAACTGCTTGATCTGAAGTATAGCTCGACCCTTTCCTAGGCACCGGTGGCGAGGGTGGGCGTGATGGAGTTGGGTCGGCCGGGGTGTCCGGTTGTCCAGCTGCCGGATTCACCGCGGCGCAAGAGGGGACCGCCCACTGCCTTTTAAGGGGTGGGGGTGAAACCTTAGCGTGGTGTGGATGGTTAGGGGAGGGTTATGTGGAGGGTCTTGTCACGATTTCCCCCTTTGCAGTATCATGGTGATACTTCGGGGCATGGCGACATGTGTGGAATCGTGTCTTGTGGGTACAGTTGTACACCTCTGGCCAGAGTAAAACTATTCGAATAGCCGTTCCCGCGGTTATGGGCGATCAACCAGATTCACCGTGATTAGTCTCACCCCTAGTTTAGCTTAATGAACTGGTGTAGTTCAGGTGGTTGGTTGGGCCTGTTGCAACGTGGTGTAGCGTTGGACAGTGATTGGTTAATATTGATTAATTACTACAGCTGTTTTACTGCTTTCAACTACTGCTTTGAAATGCCTGCTTTATGCAAAAGAACCCCTAGCTTCCTTTAGTTATATCCTGCATCATACCTCCTCTTCCGGTATGACTTGCTGAGTACAGTGGGTAGTACTCAGTCTTGCTCTCTTTTCCCTCGCACCAGAGTTGAAGTTCTTCTCAGTTGGAGCCGTCTTAGAGAGGTTGGTTTCGTCGCTGCCGTCAAGGTTTGCCTGTGGAGTGGAGTCGCCCGCTGCTGAAGTCAAGCTCCTCGGTTTAGCTCGCTTTTATCTTTCCCGCTGCATTTGTAATCTTTTATATTTTTGTAAGACGTGGGTCTGTATGTCAACAATTGTCGTTTGTGTACCCTGGCTGGTCCTGGACAGGGATTTAATGCACATTCAGCTTAGAAATTCTGGTTCGAGAATTTCTGGGTGTGACATCCCCGGAGCAGCTCGAGGAGCATCATCAGAGACAGCAGCTGAGTGGCTATCACCCTCTTCCTCTTCCATGTGCTCATCCTCCATCTGGTTCGAGGATGCTGCCTCATTATGGCGACCTCTACCACGACCTCTTCCACGGCCTCCAGCACGGCCCCTACCACGACCTCTGTTGGTAATTCTTACGATCACAGATAAAATCCGCAAGCGCATGGATATACCGATGTAGCACTTCCCCTCTGGAGTATTCCAAGGGTATCGAATCCAAGGGAACGTGTGTGATCAGATCTTCCTCCGGTTCATCCAAGGACACCAAGCGAATGATATGCCAGGTTAGAGAGGATTTACTAGTGAGAAACAATGTCTAGGGAAAGCTTAACATTAATCCTGATGCAATACTTCAGGCACTGGCAACCCGCTGTTCCCAGATGTTGCTCTACTACATACCCGGATAGGGAGGACTTAAGTGATCTCGAGGGCTTTAACATTAATCCTGATGCAATACTTCAGGCACTGGCAACCCGCTGTTCCCAGATGTCGCTCTACTACGTACCCGGATAGGGAGGACTTAAGTGATCTCGAGGGCTGTCATCACCTCTACATCCACCTCAAACGTACTGTAGGATATGCAGCAATTACTGGATAATAATTACCTAAACACCACGTCTAGGCAATTAATTTCTACTTTAGTGTTTATAACTCACCAAAGCAATCACTATATTTTAGTTGATTATAGTGAACGATAATCCCGTATGCTACTTAGAAACTAACCAAGAGATAATTCTCACAAGACAAATCTAAATTACTCAAGAAGAATATTATATTGAATTCAGAGTAATAAACAAAATAAAAGAAATAGGAGAAGATTACCGACAACTCCGGAATTCTTCTGACTCCTACTCTACTCTCTTCCTATTCTAATATACAATATAGTACAATAGAGCCTCTTATAATTCAGGTCAAGCTTGAAAGTGTGTGTGTGAAATGAGGGAGTGAAGCCTTTATATAGAGTTAGGTATGACGGTTGGCGAAGGGGTAATGTCTGAACTGCCCCGCAACCGTCATTGGGGAGTGATCTGGAGCGTCCACGCCAAACCCCAGGATCAACGGTGATCAGGGGGGTTCGGCCGAACCTAGGCTAGGCCCTCCTGGTCTAGCCCTTGGCCCATCTTCTCCCCTGGACCTCCTTTATCCATTTCTCGGAGTTTTGAGTTGATTCACTGATGTTTCGATGAAGTTCATAACCCCTCCTTGCTGATGTTTCGATGAAGTTCATAACCCCTCCTTGCATGGATACATAATTCTCCTCACTTTGTCTGATTTTCCTCCCAACTTCAGGGTTTATCATCTGCATACAAATATACACCAACACTTGTGGAATATGTGAGATTAAGCACCTATCACTATGTTGGATGTTTTATTATCCGAACTTTATGCAGATGTTGGCGGTATAGAATCGGCATTTAACAACCGCCAACAACCTCCACGATTAGGAATAGTGGATTCAGCAATCGAATTGTTCCCAACGTCTTCATTATCATGATTATTCTCAACTTCTTCATTATGGTGGCCCCTACCACGACCTCTACCACCGCCTCTCCCACGGCCTCGATTGGCTATCCGAGGCGGCATAGCTATATCAAACACAAGCATTTACACGTCATTAGTTTAACAATAGGTTAGACAATAGCATGCAAAGAAACACAATCATACACATATATATGTAGAAAAAACATAAATGCTAGGAATGACCCATGCACCCCATCCTATTGTGCACCAGTGTGTCAAGTTTTAGATGTTTGTATCTAACCCAAGTTATACTCTTACTATTTTCTATCCTAAGAGAAATTTTTTTTAATTGGTTAGGAACTCTCGTTCAAAATTTTATGTTGATTTATATTTACATTACCCAGTCACTTACCATGGACCTACTGCCCGCTTAGATACCAACTGTAACACCCCAGGTAACCACATACCTAGAATGCCACACCAAAATACAGTCAAAAATTAAGTCCCAAAATTATTAGAAATTTCGGCAGAGTCTCCCCTAAAAATACGGATATCCACGACAGGCAGTTATAAGGGATATTTACTAAAATCGATAACCTCGAACATATAGACTTTTTTACCGATTTGTATTAAATAACCTATAGCAGTTCCCTTACTATTTTATGCGTAACTCGCAAACCGTCTAACGGAATCTAGCAAATAATATAACTTTGGACATCTAGACAAAATTCTCTACAACTTTCATGTTGGGAGGAAAATCAGATTATGCCTCTGTAAATCCCAGATTAAGAAAAACGAATCGCTGTCCTGATTTCCGGACCCGGTCAGAAGTACTGTTTTTTTTGTTTCTCCCAAACCGTTTATCGGAATTGAGTGAAACCAGTGCCGTTAGAAAGATATCAACGATGACTACAAACTTTATTTAGGACAACTAACCTGATTCCTGATGGTTTAATACCATATTTGAAAATACGGTTTCAGCCTATATTCAAGCACCACAAAAATTGCACGAGCAGCTATCGAATCAAATTCTATTTGAATCTTATACTTCTAGGGACTAAAGAGAAATTTCCTTTGCAGTGGAGGAGCACTACCTTGCGACAAATTTCCCTAATTTGCGAAATCGCTGAAATTCCTCAACGTTGCTCTGCTTTTCCTTTCCTTCTTCCTCCTGTACACCCTCTCGGTACCCTTCTCTCTGATCAAGCAGCAGCAACAGCAGCAGGGCCACGTTAGGAGCAACAGCAGCAGCAAGGAACAAGCAACAGCAACAGCAGCTCGGCAGCAGCCGCAGCAGCACAGGCCGCAGCAACACAGATCGGCAACGATAGAAGGAGCAGCAGGAACTCACCGGGAAGAAGGAAAACGGAAAGAAAACGCCGGTTGTGATGGATGACGACGGCTGCGGCCTCCGGGTATGGCCATGGCGGCGGCGCAAATACGGCGGCAGCAACCGGGTCAACAGCGGCAGCGGCAAGAGCGCAGGACGGAAGGCGTGGTGGCGGCTAGGGTTGGCTGCAGGAGCGTTCCCCTTTTATTTCTTTTTTTTATTATAAAGAGACTAAAAAGGAGATCAACGGCCCACATCGTTTCAATCCCGGGGACTTTGCTCGGTCTCCGATTTCTATAAACTTGTAGTCTATTTTGCACTACTCCTCGAGCTCTACTCATCCACGGTTCCTGATCGCCTATTCAAATAACGGTTTAAAAATTAAACTTTTGCGTGTTTATGCTAATATTCCCTGGGGCATTACATTTAGTGCCCACCTTGTGCCTGAGTAACATAGAATTCCTAGTAGTAAGTTCAAGGATTTTCTCTATCATTTGGTGGACTGGGTTAGCTGCAGAGGGTGCTTTACCTACTACGTGGGAAGAACTTAAGGTAGCTATGCGCGATAAATTTGTTTCTCCATCTTATCATTGAGATTTACGCCAGAAACTGATACGTTTAGAACAAGGGGATAAATCTGTACAGGATTACTATGGTGAGCTACAAAAGGGATTGATGCGATGTAGCATAGTGGAGGGAACCGAGGATTCTATTTGTCGATTTTACTTGGGATTGAGGCGTGAAATTCAGGACATAGTTGATAATAAGGAATTTAACACTGTCAACCAGTTGTTTCAGCTTGCTATGCTTGCAGAGAAGGAATTGTAGGGGCGTGATCAATAGGTCAAGAACAAGGCGAGCACATACACACCGCGGGTGAAGCCATCTTTGGGGCTTCCCAAGCCCATCTCTTTTTGGGCACCCCCACCAACAAGCAAGTGACCAGTTGAGTCTGGAGTTTCTGTAGCACCAAAACCACCTTCCCCATGACCTGCAGATTCAGGTAAAGGTTTTTCGCAGGTATCCACCAAGAGTGCCTCATCTGTCGCTTCGATGGGACGCACACCCAGAATTCAGTGCCACCGCTGCCATGGATTTGGCCATGTGCAGAAGGATTGCCCTAGTCAACGGGCATACGTTGCTACAGAAGATGGCTACAACAGCACCTCCGACATTGAAGATGGTGAGAAGGAAGAGAAGAAAGACGAAGAGGAAAAAGCCCTATCTATAGCTCCATGCATGCTTGAAGAATGTTCAATTGACCAAGCGCCTGTAATTTCTGAAGATGAGAAAAAAAAGGTAATGATAATTATACTACAACTACTCAAGGTATGCATATTTATGATGTGCCAACTATGTCCACTACTTATGCTACGTTAAAGAAACCCATAGTGGAAATAATTGTTGAAATACCTTTGTCACAAAACAATTTGCTTGATGATTCTTGTGATAAAGAAGAGTTGTATGATGCTTCACTTATATCCATGTCACAACCAGTGAATGAACATGTTAGTTCTATAGTAGAGCCACCATGTGTTGAGTTTAAACATGTTATTCACATTGCTAACGAGAATGAAGAGCTTAAATTACTATCTTCTTTAAACACTTGGGGATATATTCAATTTGATGATCTTTTTCCACTCAACTATTTAGAGAAGAAATTATTTGCTAGATTTGAATTACCATGCCCTTATGACATGATTTTTCATGTTATTGGCAATTATGATAGTAAAGGAGAATATAATGCGCATCGAGTAAATATTTTCGAATTTGACTATACCTCCTTTTCATGATAAAATGAATTGTCTAGAGGACCGCATGCGTACACGTAATTCTCTATCTAGTTCCTCTAGTTGTTTAAATGAGTTACAGGTTGGTTTGCAAGAAGGGAAGTGTTGTGGTTTCGACTACAAAGATTTCAGGATCCAACTATATGGCCATTAAGAAATGTTCATCACCGGATGTTGTGCTAGATAAAGATAAGTTTAATAATACGCTCCATGACAAGGTGAAACCGAGGACGGTTTCCAATCAAGAAGGGGAGGATGATGAGGACACAACTAGCTCGGATATAACCATGACTACCTTATGTATTAATCAACCAAAAGTGCATATGTTCTACATTAGGTTTACTTGTTATATATTTGAACAAACGCTACTACACAATGGGTTTTGTGTGTTTTCGTTTGCAGAGATACTTGCTTGGGCGAAGGAAAAGAAACCGAGCGTAGCGAATGCATGGATGATCAAAGAAGTTGATTAGGGACCAAATCAAGACCTTCTCCAAGTCTACTTCTACTTCACCACGTCACTTTTTGTAACATCCCGGCCTAGGGCTTAATAGGATTAATAGAATACTCATATCAACAAGTTGCAACTTCTTTTCCGGAAGCCGAACTCTAAAAAACTCCAAGGTTAAGCGTGCTGGGCCTGGAGCAATTGGCGGTATAGTTATGCAGCCCATTGAACCGAAGCGAGTTATCACAAAGCACAGTGACAAGATAGGTCCTAGAATCGAGTCCTTGTTGTGAATGATTATTATAGGTGCACCAATTGTATTGTCACTTGGTGAATCAACCGGTTCAATATATAGTTCGAGAGAAGAACTAAGGTCAGATTCGAAGGTAGATTTAGTACACCTTACTTCTTCTCCTTACCCGAATCTCGGGGACGAGATTCATTTTAAGGGGTAGGCTTGTAACATACTAGGAATTCTTTGAAGCAAAAAAAAAAGAAATTAAGAAAAATAAAACTTAGCAAATTTTTGACTTTGATCTTGTCCTTTCTTTTGAAGTTGATTTTGGTGTTCTTGGATTTTCCGTACATCTCATAACTCATTTGCATGCAATAAATATAAACAAAAAGAAACTAATTAAAATAAGTAGTTGAGACTTGAAATAACCTTTCACAAATCTCACAAAGTTTTGCATCTCAATTAAAAAGATGAAAGCATCCAAAATTTGATTCAAATTAAAATAAAACCAGTGAACTTGTTTGAATTTTCAAAAATAAACTGCACTTGAGAAAAATCCCAAAAATTTACCAAGTGGAGGTCTTGACCAGACTAACCTCCAGAAATTTTTGCACAAGCTTTTGAGCACAGTAGCATATCCAAAAATTAATCAAACTCTCAGCCTTCTTGGAAATTCCTAGAGAAAAATCCCCTCACCTCATCGCTTCTCCCGTTATCTCTCTGATCAGTGGACCTAAGGACCATTGGCCCCACCTGCCAGCCACCATCTCCTTATCCCTGCTCTCTGTCTTTCTCCCTTCTCTCCATCTATTCCTTTCAGGCAATTCATCGGGCGCCTAGCGTGCTAGATGGAGGTCATCGTTTCCAAGCCGACCAAGCAACATCTACCCGCGATTCCCGCTGGCAAAGCTGAGGCAAGGCTGGTGCGCCCCTGCCCGAGGCCCTACCGCTGCCTTCGCCGCGTCTCTCGCCGGCTCGCCCAACCCGGAGCTGCCGCTCTCTTGCTCTCCCCCTCTCTCTCTGCCCGAGCAACGACGCGACGCGACCCTGCGCCACCCTCTGCCCGCGAATCCCGCTGTGACAAGGCTACACAAAGCCGACGCCGTCCCTGCCACTTCCCTGCCGCGCCCAGGCGCCGACCACCGCAGCCGCCGTGGCCAACCCAATGCCGCCGCCCCCTGCCAAAGCCGACGCCCAAAGCGACAAGGCGAGACCGACCGCCCCTGGCTCCCTCTGACTAACCCTGCACCCCCTCTGATATCCCTGCGCAAAGCCGGCGCCTGCTACAAGCTGTGTTCCCCGCCGACCACCGCCTGCGAGCGCGAGAGAGGCCGAGCACTTCGCGACAACACCCCGCGTTTGCCTCTCGCTCCTCCCTCGCCTATAAATCAAACCCTCGCGCCAGCTAACTCTCCACACCACTCTCAACCTCCACACCCAAAGCCGAAGACCGAAACCCTCTGGTTCGCCGGGAATGGCAGCGCGACCGTCGCGCCCCCCGCCGGCCAAACAGAGTGCCGCCGCCGAACCCACACCGAGCCGTCGCCTCGGTGAGTTTCCTCTCGATTCCTCGCGCCATCAGGCTCATAGGACCTCCTTAAACCCATTTCCGCAATCTCTTTTAGGACCCCTCGACCGGAGAACCGCTGCCACCATTGCCACCGCCAACCGCCTCGGGAGCTCGTCGCCATGCCACCTCGGACCGCCTCCGCCCAAAACCTCCTCATAGTCCTTAGGTGCTTCCCTGTACTTTAATCGCGCCCGTTCGCCATAGCCGCCGGCCGCCATCATCCCGAACCATTGCCGCCGCCTACCATGGCGCGCCGTCTTTAACCTCCCCCGGCCGTGCCGCCACCTCTATAGTGTGCGCGAGGATTCCCTACAACCTCCCCTAGTCTCCCCGGCCCTTTCCCGAACCATCCCAGCCGCCCCCAAGCTCCCCTTCGTTCTCCCGTACTGAGGAAGAAGACAGGGACCTGTTTGCAAATAATAAAAACTCTAGGGTATATACTACAAAATACTGGGTCAATGACATATGGACCCCACAGCTTAAAGTAATTGTGTAACATAGGAATACGCCTTCCCTGTAGGAAAACGTGTTACGAACAGTGCGCTTTAGTTTCTTTTATAAACAAGTTATTAAATCTGAGAAAAGGATTTCTGGTAATTATTTATGCACTATAAAATGCTGAAACTTTGGAAAAATCATAGAGAATTCATTTTAACTCCGATTGAGGTGAACCAAAATTTGTTAGATTCATAATATTGTTCTCTTTAAGACTGTACACTCAAAACTATAAGCACTGTTGTGAAAATTTTCACTAATTTAAATTTGAATAGTAAACTTCGTATTTACCGTACTTTAAATATTAGAAACACGATAACTTGCACATACAACATCGGATATAGGCGATTCTTTCTCCTAAATTTATATTAAATCACCCTCTATACACTGAACACGTTCATGCACCATGCATCATATTTTATCTTGGAGTTTTATTGGATGTTCATTTGGATGTACGTTTAAATTTAAATAGAGGCCGAATCGATTGTTGCCGTTGACGAGAGTGTGCAGGACCAAGAGTTATTTGAGGAACCAACTGAGCAAGGCAAGTCCTATTCAATTCCTCCTTCGATCATGTTGAATCCTATATTTTTGCAACTGCTTTACTATTTTATAAATTGCTTGCGATGTTTTATAAAAATGGGGTATTGGTAGAATGACCTATTTGCTGCATTTCCTACCTTGATACATTGATTATCCTTACTGTTGAAGCACTAGGATGGGTATTTATGTGGTGCTATCCAAGCACCAACGTGGGTATATTCGAGCTACTAATATAGCTATTACTTAGCCATGCTTAGAAAATTTGCGATGGTTCTGAACAACATGACATTCACTCTTTCAAATGGATTATTTCAAAACATTGTACATAGCGGTTACCTCTGTTGTTTGTGAAAACTGAACAAATGAAAATGATGGTTTTTTTGACTTGGGCGGCAAGTGGTGTGCATATGGTGCTAGTTGCACACCGATAGGGGGAGTGTTCGCTTGAGTTGATTAAGGACCAAACTATGTGTCACCAACTAAGTATATGAAAACGGAATCGGAAACCCGGATATGAAAACGGAATCGAATATTATCGAATACAGATATGGAGCGAATACGAATCGAAATGAATACGGTAACGAATATTAATCGGAACATAAAAATCCCTCAAACTCGTTATTTTTTCTAATAGAACATATCAACATTTTCAAATTTTAGTGTTAATAATTTTGTTATATCCGATTTTGTGGTTGAGGGAGACGATTCAATCGAGATTAAGACATTACGAGGCAAAATCATGTCTTTAAATTGGATGATTGTTTTTTCTAAATGTTTCTAAAATCATATTCTATCGAGTTATTGTGTTCTTACTGCAATTATTTTGGCCATATTTTCTCATGACTTTGTTTAATCAAGTAAAAATTTGAATTTCAAAAAATAGCAGCTTCAAATAATATTTTGAAGTAGTAAATAATTTCAGCTGAAAAAATTATGAATACAAAAGTTGTAGAACTCATCAAGAACTACAACTTTTATTTTGGTCATTTCTTCATCCGACAAAGTGATAATAACATTGTTCATAAAATTTGCATATCTCTCTTATAAGCTTATGAAACCATATATGAGATATGTAAATTTTGTAAACAATGTTAGTATCGCTTTGTCGGATGAAAAAATGACTAAAATAAAAGTTATAGATCTTGATAAGTTATACAACTTTGTTGTTGATGAGTTTTTCAGTTGAAATCATTTAGTATTTGAAAATGTTGTTTGAAGGTGTCATATTTTGAAATCCAAATTCAAAATATTTAAACAAAGTTATATAGAAAAATGACCCAAAAAAAAGTTGTTGATATTGATGAGTTATACAACTTTGTTGTTGACAATTTTTCCATTTGAAATCATTTACTACCCGAAAAATTATTTGAATTTCTTATATTTTAAAATTCAAAATTTATTTAGTTCAATCAAACTCGGATGAAGAAATGACCAAAATAAAATTGGTAGATCTCAATAAATTCTACAACTTTGTTTTTATAACTTTTTCACATGAGTTCATTTAGTATCATAAAATTTAATTCGAAGTTGAGGGACAATATATAGACTTAATAGCTAGTTCTTAGGCCCGTTGGCCCATTTAGATGGAGGGATATATAAACCTAACCCTAGTTTCTCCCACCTCCCAATCTCCCACACCTCCTAGTCTACTCCCAGCCGCCGTCCTTCCTCCCGGGCTCCCGGCTCCCACGAGGCCGCGACCGCGAGACGCCACCATGGGGGTGGGGCCCGCGTGCGGCGGACGGCGACGGCGACGATGGGGGCTGGGCCGCGTACGGCAGACGGCGACGGCGACGTCAGGGGCGCGGCCGCGTAGGGCGGACGGCGACGGCGGGGCCTCGGCGGCGCGAGGCGACGACTTGTGGCGTGCAGCGACGAGCGTAACCGACCACGCCGACCTCGGGGCGGCCGGGTCATGGCGACGGCGGGAACTCGGCGGCGCGAGGCGACGGCGTGCGGGTGCGGCGGACGGCGACACCGGCCTCTGGGCGGCTGGATCTGGGGTCGGTGGCCCTAGAGCCGCGAGATCCGACGTCGTGAGGCGACGACGATGGAGGGAGCTCGGCGGCGCGAGGGGATGTGGGGACACCCGATAAAGTCATGGTGCCCCACAAATACGTAACTGCCCAGGATGTTCAGTTCGCATGAAATGATATAAAAGCATAAACTTCGATTATACAATACTTAAGTCACTTAGTTCACAACACAACATAAATACAAACCATTACATATATGGCCTATAAAGCCTTATTTCTACGAACAGATAAACTGCTAGACTCCACCACAGGAACTGCCTAAGCGTAGGATGACCTAGAAACCATAGCTGTCCTACTCTAACAGATCAACAGGTTCTCCACAAGCATCTTTCTCCTCATGATCTGAACCCATTTATGAGTACAAAAGGTACTCAGCAAGACATGCTTATGACAGCAAATGCAATAATTGCAATATAAAACATGCAATATTAATAGCTGGAAGGTTCAAACCCTAACCTTAAAAGTTATTTCATAGAGCCTATCTTAATAAATATTTGATTTAAACAACACTATTGAACATTTAATTTAAACAGAAATAACGAGCAGAAAAAAAATATAAATGTTACTTATAAATAACATGAATAGAACATCAAGTAATAAATAAGTTAACATATTAATTTATAGCCATTTAGTTTAACTTGTGCCCATAATCTGGAATCACCCATAGGCACATCTCCATTAATCGGGAGCACGGCGTATTCGAATACTCAACGACTCTGCAGCGTCTGTCCAGCTTTACCCACACGATACCCACAGCTGGCCGGGCTGAAAAGTAACAAGGTGTAATATTGCTCCATATATTTCTCCCTTCTGCCTAGTAAGTTAAAGGATGCTCAGGATGTTGCACAGAGTGATCCGGTCCGAGGTGTGTGCCAACCTACCTCCGCATCCACTTACCATTGTTCGTTACTCGATGGGCAGCCCAGAACTTCATAGGCCCATAGGGCAGTTCTGGACTCTCGGGGCCCATCGAGCCCTCATATATAAATCATATAAACATGAACCATGTCACTTTGCTTCACACACTTGAAAGCTAATGGCCAGTACACCGAAAGGCCTGCAGAAGTTTAATCAATTGGAGCAATATACGGCCAGGTTCGACAAATCGATCGTGTGGATGGGCGAAACTATGTCATTCTTATTGACACAAGGGGGTTGATTATTATATCAATTTTAAATAAGAAATAACCATAAAATATATCTATATATCCATCACGACTATAAAAAGGTCCATGAAACCAAACACATGAACTCTATCTTGTGTACCACCCGCTCACATGCGGTGTCAACAATTCTTAGCATATAGCCATAAATAGTTCCATAAGCATGTTTTCATAAGCAATAATAATATCCATGATAAATCAATAGCATGTTACATAATTAACAGTTTGTTTAAGTGCTTCTCAAATTTTACCCTAAGCTTGTTAGACTCTAAGGCCCATTAAGGTGTCCATAACAACAACATAAAATATAATCAATAATAGCAATATAATTAATTTAGAAGAATTCGTGCAGTCTATCGTACTCCAAAGGATAAGTACACTACTAAAATAACTCTCTATCTACTAGGATTAAATTGTTCAAGGGAGGGTGCATGTCTTGCAACCTTCGGGCTCGATGTAGTCGTACAAATCGTCTCCTCCTGGCGCGGAGATTTCACTCACTCCGACTACCGGACCAACGTCAGCGTTTTCTATTTACGCAACAATCATCACCACAATAAATAACAGAAAAACAAAGATAACCAAAACAAATAGTATCACAAAGTGCAACAATGGGTGAAAAGGATTTAAAGAAATAATTTTAGGGATTTTTGGAATTTCGGTGAACGGCGAACCCTAGGGCTAAAATTAGGGTCGCGACAACGGGTGCTCGGATTGCAACGAAACTGACACGGATGGATTCGGAATAATTCTAGGAGTTTGGAATAGGTCTCGGATTTCGATTTCGAGGTCAAACGGATGGTCAACCTGATAGGAAAATAAAAATGATTTTTCTGATTTATTTTTCAATAGAAAAATCCGGTTTTTCTTCTCTTCTCTCGCTCTGTACAGGAACAGCCGGAATCCCACGACGCTGGCATTGGAGATGGCCGGTTTTGGGCAAGGGGGCGCCGGTTTTGCGATCTACAGGGCGCAGCGACTCCGTTCCCGTGGTTGGAGGCGGCGCAGACGGCGGCGGCGAGGCTGGCGACGGCAGCCAGAAGCAGGCGGCGGCGGCGGCCATGGCGGCGGTGGTTCCGGCGAACTCCGGGGAGGGCGGCGGCCATGGTGAGCATCAGTGGAGCAAGGGAAGCATGGTGGTGGCGGCGGCTCGGCCTAGGGCGGCCAGGAGCGGCGGCGCGCCGTACAGCCGGCGTCGGCCGAACAGAGCGGCGTCGCCGGGAGGCGACGCCGGCGATGTTCCGGCGATGGATTGGATGGAGAAAGAGAGGGGAAAGGGAGTACTCATCATGGAGAATCCGTTTTTTACCTTCAATTTCAGAGGATTTGCGATGTATGCGACGAATTTGGGAGCTCTATCAATGGCGCAAATTTAGGGTTTCGGGGATTTTTCCTCCGGTGATGACGATTTGATTCAGCGGGAGTAGGGGCGGATTTGAGGAGGTGAAAGAGGTTGAAATTGCGCTTCTTTTGCCTCCGGTATTGAGCCTTCTAGTTAAGGAACGAAGGAGATACGGAGGCGGGAAGCTGGAGGTGTCGCGGCGGCGTTCGTTCGTCGTTCGTCCTCGTGGGAGCGTGTGTGGGCGTGTGGCGCGCGCGGGGCGGCACGAGCTCAGCGCGAGCGTGCGCAAGCGCGGCGTGGGATTGGCGCGAGGCGGCACAGGCTCTGGCTCGGCCTGGCTGAGTAGAGAAGAAGAAAGAAAAGAAAAACAGAGAAAGGGAAGGAGAGGGAAGAAAAACAGAGAAAGGAAAAAAATATGGAAAAAGAAAATTAAGGTGGAAATAGAGAAAAGGAAAATTTTGGGGAAAATTAAAATAGATAATATTTGAATTGATGTGGAATTTAGATTGGTCCGATATTCAGGATAGATTTAAATCGGATTCAAAAGGAATTATTTGAGGGATGATATGCACTTTGCAACAAAATTAAACGAGAAAAGAACATCGAAAATAAACATGGAAAATAATATTTTAAATGAACTATTAACTCGACGGTTATAATTTTAGAGAATCAAAGCAAACTAAATCGGTTTTAAAAAGTTGTCAAATTTTAGGGCTGTTACAGGGACGGTGTGCGGCGGACGGCGACGAGCGGATCCGGCGTGCGACGTGCGACGGCGATGGCGGGAACTCGGCGGCGTGAAGCGACGGCGTGTGGCGGACGGCGACGAGATTTTTTCAATGTTTTAATTTGGATTTTGCTGTTTATTTTGATTCGGATATCCAGCAAAAAAAGGTTGGATAGTTTCCGACCGAATCCTAGTTCCGACGGATACCATCGCTTCTGTATTCGAATTCGTATCCGAGAAAAACTATCCGAATTCGTATCCGAATCCGAAAAAATCCAAAAAAAGTCTGCAACAATCCGCATCCGCAAAACAGGATCGGAACTCGGAAATTATCCGTACCACTTTCATCCCTAGTTGTATGGATGTGATAACAATGTTGTGGATGCGTGTGCTAGCCACTGATCATGAGACTAGTACAGTGTACGCTCCAGGTATTCGGGAATTCCATCCCCGGGTGCTTACAAAGTGGTAACAAAGCCGACTCTCACGGTTTCACGGGCGCGTGTGTCACAATTGCGCAGGCATGGTGCGCATGGCTGGTGTGGATCCGGAGTGGTCACACAGCATGGCACATGCGCTGGCACTGGACACACGGACGTGGCCAAGAGAGGATGTTCCTGGCCTGGGGTTGATCGACGGGGGCGTCGATCTCTCTTAAGGGGGTGAGGATGTAACATCCCGCCCTAGGGCTTAATAGGATTAATAGAATACTCATATCAACAAGTTGCAACTTCTTTTCCGGAAGCCGAACTCTAAACAAGTTGCAACTTCTTTTCCGGACGCCGAACTCTAAAGAACTTTGAGGTTAAGCGTACTCGGCCTGGAGTAATTTAGGGATGGGTGACCGATCGGGAAATTCATCCCAAGTGCGCACGAGTGAGGACAAAGTGTGCAGAAAAGACTTGTGTTGGTCTGTGAGGGCAGTATATGACCTATGAAAGCTGCCAGATGTAAGTGTGGAAAGCTTATAGAGTCTATTTTCAGATGGTTTTGGTCCCACGTCAAAATTCCTATCGAGCTGCCAGGAATCTACAAAACAAGCCACGTACCACACTTTTGGTCCATAGAACACAAGAGATAAAGTTCTACATGTTTTGGATTCGGATTTGGGCCTCCTGACAACATCAACTTCAAACGGACCTAGCCGCTGATGTAGAAGGAATTTCGGGGGCCATGAGTACTTGTTGGAAAGCTTATAAAGTCTACTTTTAGATGGTTTTGGTCCCACGTCAAAATTCCTATCGAGCTGCCAGGAATCTACAAAACAAGCCACGTACCTCATCCAGTCCGAATCTGATTTGGGTTTTGGGTCTTGTAATTGTATCGTGGGCTTAGCCCAAGGGGGTGTGTGCTAGGGCAACCCTAGGACGTCCCTAATCACATTTAGTCAGTAGTCATTATCATTTAGATTGGGGTTTTGCTTAGATTAATCTGTCAAGAACAGTTTACCGCTAGATCGGTTGGTGGAACCCTAAATTCGAGTGCTTAATCATTCATATACAATTGTGTTGCAATCTATCTTGTTCTTGCTTGTGTTCTTCGATTCGCATGCAGGGATTAGCCTTCTTGGCGAAGTCAACAGGGTTTTAGCACGGTTGATAACCAGAGGAGACGTGGTGCTGCGATTGCGGGGCTCAGTACCGTGTTCGTTCAGAAGCCGGATCGAGTTGTGTCGTGACTCCGCCCAAATCGACTGTTTATCAATACCTATCGGAAGATCGGGACCTAACATCCCTCATTATATAGGCAGGGAGGAGACCGATGAGCGCTAGCGCATCAAAGTGGTACATGCCACTGGTGGCTGAGATTTGCTAGGTGGCCAAGATGTGCCATGCCGCGGACGAGGAGCAGCTCATCATGGCACTCTAGCTTCTTTGGCGCAAACAACCAAGATGCGTCGAGAAGCACTAGGCCACTGGCGAGGAATAGCTCGTGGGGCTCCTACATCCATGACACTGGCTGCTGAGATGCACCGAGGGCTGAGGTTGCAAGGGGAGTGAGGATAGGTCGGATGGAGGAGGTGGTGGAATAGGGCGCAGGCGAGCCAGGATGTGTCAGTCAAGAGGAGAAGCGAGCACTGTTTGCGCTTATGTGAGCGAAGTGGAAGAGTTGCATGCATGTTCGTTGAACAGGAAGGGGAACCGATTCAAGACTAGGAGTTAGGGTTAGAGACCTTAACATCAGTAATCATGCTACACCGGGGCTTCTCGGGTCACCCACGGGCCAACTCCTGCACCATCTCCACCCCCGAAAACATCCAGGGGCAAGGAGCTACTCCCTCCATCAAAAAAACTTAACCTAGTATTGGATGTGATGTTTTCTAGTACAATGAATCTGGACATACTCCTATCTAGATTCATTGTACTAAAAAATATCACATCCAATACTAGGTTAAGTTTTTTTGGATGGAGGGAGTAGCTAGCTAGGAAAACATACGGTATTGCTATAGCCAGTCCTGTTTATTTCTTAATTATAGGTCAAAAGTAAGAAGAACATGCATTAATGATGAATTGATCATAATAACATATATGTATCAATTTAGCACCTAGAGCACTACCAACTTTAATTTTGTCCATGTCATCCACTCATAAATTAAGAGGCAACATGTACTATACCACCTCTAGTATACACTAATACATCTAATACTCTCACATATTTCTTAAAGTTTGTGTGAAGGTTACCTATTGAGTAAGAGTTAATATAAAATATCATTTATAACCAACATAATAGCTCACTCATCATACAATAGTTAGTTGTACATATATATTGCACCATTAATATCTCATTCATCTCTCTCGTATGGTTTATTAGAGCTCGTGCTACAATTGGCTATAAATATGTAGCACGTTTTTCTTATTTCTCCTCTCCTCTCTCCTTCACATAAGTAGATATGATGCAACAACTCTATGTGGCACTCACTTCTATCCTCTACATCATTACTCAATCATACGTTATACTCTTAGAAGTATTATAACACGTGATCTTAATCTCACAATGCCCTAATCTCTTGAATGTCTCAAATAAATATGAAAACTACCACATAAAGATAAAATAACGGTAAAATTTGCCTGAAGAGTACCTAATTAATTGGTTAGCACTTTCCATGCCACACGGCCTCACTGCAAAATTCATGTCCCATGTGGGCAAAGAAAAGAGGTGCTCGATGGAGAACCAAACTTGCTAGCTAGGGTCGTCCAAAATCAACCAAGTTAGAACATTAAATTAATTGCCGCATGTAAAGGAAGCACTTGTCCACAAAAAATATTACTCCCTCCGGGTTTTACTAATACTTGTCGTTTTGGACAAGAGCACGGTCTCCAAAAAAAAATAACTTTGACCATTATTTTTCATTATAATATATATAAAATTGTTAACAAATATATAATTTTATTAAAGTACTTTTTAAGACTAATCTATACATGTAGTCACCATATTTAAAAGATAAATATTTTAAAAATAATTCATAATCAAAGATTCTAAAGTTTGACATCATACTTGTTTAAAACGATAAGCATTATCAGCCCGGAGGGAGTACTAACTAAAAATTTGTATAGAATAGAAAAGGCTATATCCATGACCCATCCATTATCTAAAAAATATCCATGACCATTTCTGGCAACCCTATACTACTGCCTGAACAATTCAGACTTCTTCCCGCCTACCACAGGTTCAGACTTCTTCCCGCCTACCACAGGTCAATATATATGTCGAATATGTCTATGTGGTTAATTATTCTCCTCCACTCTACGCGTTATTCACCAATATATAACCATGTTTAATTAGTTTTTGTTCCCACATCTCCACTGCGCATTCCTCGTTCCATCCTTAATTTGTCTGTATAGCATTTTAATTTGCAAGCTGGCCATGGCCACCGTGCAAAGATCGACTCCACCGTTCTACAACTTCCTCAAGGAAGGTTTCCTCCTCCCTAGCCGCAACCGGAGCTTGTTCGTGGCGGTCTTCTTGCTCGTCGTCGCCTCCACGTCGGTTCTCCTCCTTGTCAATGACCTCGCCGTCCAGCCCATCGCCATGGAGATCCTCCTCGACGCCAAGGCTCTCAACACCACCGATCCCATGAGCCCGGACTTCACCAAGCTCGTCAAAGAAATCCAGGACGACACCCGGGAGCTGATGATCGCCACCGCGGCCTACTCACTGTTCGCCGTCGTCATCGGCTTCGCCATCCGAATCATCATCCTCTTCGGCGCAGTGGCCACGTTCTCCGGCGAGCAGCACACCTTTGGCACGCTGTTGGGCAAAGCCAGGTGTGGAGATTATGGGTACCCCATACCCACACGGCATGGTTATCCGACTAGTCATAGGGGATAGCTTATATCTATGGAATATGTAACCGATCATGACTTGGGTATTACGTTTCCTTTTATATTATGAAGCGGCCTAAAGTCCTGATTTGATAATATTGTAAAATAGATTTAGGAAACCGATACCGTATGGGTTAAGGTTTCTATCTTGTAATCCTGCCCCCCATCCTATATAAGGTGGGCAGGAGGCCCTCTAGGGGGCATGAGACAACCTGATCGTCAGATCAATACACACTCGGCGGATTCAAATCCCCAAACAGGAGTAGGGTATTACCTCTCATCGAGAGGGCCTGAACCTGTCTAAATCCTTTGTCTCTGCATCCATCCACTTTTAGGTCTCGTGCGCTACCCCCTTTTATTATTGCCGAATTCATGTTTCGACAGTTGGCGCGCCAGGTAGGGGTTGCGTCGAGTTTCCTATCAACGAGCGCGATGGAATCAATCTCATGAGTCGCCGACTTCGCTTTCGCTTTGGGAGTTTTCACTTCCTTTCCGTCGACCACTTCTTCAAGCTCCTCTTCTCTGACTTGATCCAAATCAGTCAGGGGGAAACTCAATCTGATTTTTATCATTATTTATCATATTGATTTTTAATCTCAGATTAATTTCTTGCTACTTTTTGTTGTTGTTCGCATATAACTACGCGGCACTATTGAGGCGATTGATGCTGGTCATGGACTCGAGGCGTCTCAGCTTTCCGGTCGATCGGCCGCGAGTCCACTCCACCGGCTTGTCCTCGCCACCGCCATTGCTGATAGCAACAACGTCTTCACCGACCGGCTGGCCTTCGCCGCCGCCGACTGGTGTTTCCGCCTGCACGGCTGGTCTATTATGCCGCCGCTGTTGGGCGTCTACGACTTCACCACCGGCCTGCCTCCGTCGCCGCCGACTGGTGTCCCCGCCTACACAGTCGGTTGGTCACACCACCGTTGATGGGCATCATCATCTACACCGCCGGCCTGCCTCCGTCGCCGCCGAGTGGTGCCTCCGCCTACACGGCTGGCCTATTATGCCGCCGCTGTTGGGCGTCTACGACTTCACCGCCGGCCTGCCTCCGTCGCCGCCGAGTGGTGCCTCCGCCTACACGGCTGGCCTATTATGCCGCCGTTGTTGGGCGTCTACGACTTCACCGCCGGCCTGCCTCCGTCGCCGCCGAGTGGTGCCTCCGCCTACATGGCTGGCCTATTATGCCGCCGCTGTGGGGCGTCTACGACTTCACCGCCGGCTTGCCTCCGTCGCCGCCGAGTGGTGCCTCCGCCTACACGGCTGGCCTATTATGCCGCCGCTGTTGGGCGTCTACGACTTCACCGCCGGCCTGCCTCCGTCGCCGCCGATTGGTGCCTCCGCCTACACGGCTGGCCTATTATGCCGCCGTTGTTGGGCGTCTACGACTTCACCGCCGGCCTGCCTCCGTCGCCGCCGAGTGGTGCCTCCGCCTACATGGCTGGCCTATTATGCCGCCGCTGTGGGGCGTCTACGACTTCACCGCCGGCCTGCCTCCGTCGCCGCCGATTGGTGCCTCCGCCTACACGGTGTTTCCGCCTGCACGGCTGGCCTATTATGCCGCCGTTGTTGGATGTCTACATCTTCACCGTTGGCTCACCTTCGTTGCCGTCGACTGGTGTTTCCGCTTACACGGCTGGCCTATTATGCCGCCGTTAGTGGGCATCTTCGCTTTCACCGTCGACCGCCTTCGTCGCCGCCGACTGGTGTCTTCATTGTTATTGATGGACGACTTTGTTCCCACATTGGCCACTTCTGCCATCACCAAGGGGAATATTACAAAGCTAAGTCATCATTTATTTTATTCTTTATATGATATTTTTCCTTTTCCTCTGCCTCACTACACCAATTGGTCTTCCATTGAGTAGTGAGTCGGGGGCTACAGATGTTATATCATATTTTTTATAATATTTATCTTGATTGCTTGCGACATAATCTGAGTACAAAAGTACCTATCGAGTTATGGAGTTCTATCTTCCTATGCTTTCCGTTTGGTTTGCCAATGGATGGTTGCCTTTGGGCCGATTCCTAGCACCCGGGGGCTCGTTGGATGGACCGAGTAGCGCAAGGTGCTAAGTATTATTCGGAATAAATCAAAAGCATAGAGATGAGATAAATTTATTTTCTGCTCTTAATAATTGCAAAAGTACCCGAGTAGTAAACTCCGATCCGTGAAACTTTGTTCCATTAATGACGAACTCATGTCACTCATATGCATGTTTGGGAAGTGCTTAGGCCGACTCCCAGTGCTTGGTGGCTATGACTAGTTGGGCAGAGCGTTTAAACGTAATGAGTCATCTGCTCGGGGAAATCAAAATTGACAAGAGGAGAAATACATATTTATAAATATTTTAAAATACTTGATTTTTTCTCGAGTATTATATTTATATCAGATACTACTCATCCTATATGTTTGTTTTGCAGGATCCAGATCCGGATATGCATAAAAGGGATTCATGGCTTTCAGCTTATCTCTTACGCTCCAGGAATGGATCAGTCAGAACATCACCGACCGGCTTGCCTTCGCCGCCGCCGACTGGTGTTTCCGCCTGCACGGCTGGCCTTTATGCCGCCGTTGTTGGGCGTCTACGTCTTCACCGACCGGCTTGCCTTCGCCGCTGCCGACTGGTGTTTCCGCCTGCACAGCTGGCCTATTATGCCGCCGTTGTTGGGCGTCTACGTCTTCACCGACCGGCTTGCCTTCGCCGCCGCCGACTGGTGTTTCCGCCTGCACGGCTGGCCTTTATGCCGCCGTTGTTGGGCGTCTACGTCTTCACCGACCGGCTTGCCTTCGCCGCCGCCGACTGGTGTTTCCGCCTGCACGGCTGGCCTTTATGCCGCCGTTGTTGGGCGTCTACGTCTTCACCGACCGGCTTGCCTTCGCCGCCGCCGACTGGTGTTTCCGCTTGCACGGCTGGCCTTTATGCCGCCGTAGTTGGGCGTCTACGTCTTCACCGACCGGCTTGCCTTCGTCGCCGCCGACTGGTGTCCTCGCCTGCACGGCTGGCCTATTATGCCGCCGTTGTTGGGCGTCTACGTTTTCACCGACCGGCTTGCCTTCGCCGCTGCCGACTGGTGTTTCCGCCTGCACAGCTGGCCTATTATGCCGCCGTTGTTGGGCGTCTACGTCTTCACCGACCGGCTTGCCTTCGCCGCCGCCGACTGGTGTTTCCGCCTGCACGGCTGGCCTTTATGCCGCCGTTGTTGGGCGTCTACGTCTTCACCGACCGGCTTGCCTTCGTCGCCGCCGACTGGTGTCCTCGCCTGCACGGCTGGCCTATTATGCCGCCGTTGTTGGGCGCCTACGTCTTCACCGACCGGCTTGCCTTTGTCGCCGCCGACCGATGTCCTCGCCTGCACGGCTGGCCTTTATGCCGCCGTTGTTGGGCGTCTACGTCTTCACCGACCGGCTTGCCTTCGCCGCCGCCGACTGGTGTTTCCGCTTGCACGGCTGGCCATTATGCTGCCGTTGTTGGGCGTCTACGTCTTCACCGACCGGCCGCCTCGTCCGCCGCCGACCGATGTCCTCGCCTGCACGGCTGGCCTTTATGCCGCCGTTGTTGGGCGTCTACGTCTTCACCGACCGGCTTGCCTTCGCCGCCGCCGACTGGTGTTTCTGCCTGCACGGCTGGCCTTTATGCCGCCGTTGTTGGGCGTCTACGTCTTCACCGACCGGCCGCCTCGTCCGCCGCCGACTGGTGCTTCCGCCGGCACGGCTGGCCTTTATGCCGCCGTTGTTGGGCGTCTACGTCTTCACCGACCGGCCGCCTTCGTCGCCGCCGACTGGTGTCCTCGCCTGCACGGCTGGCCTATTATGCCGCCGTTGTTGGGCGTCTACGTCTTCACCGACCGGCTTGCCTTCGCCGCCGCCGACTGGTGTTTCCGCCTGCACGGCTGGCCTTTATGCCGCCGTAGTTGGGCGTCTACGTCTTCACCGACCGGCTTGCCTTCGTCGCCGCCGACTGGTGTCCTCGCCTGCACGGCTGGCCTATTATGCCGCCGTTGTTGGGCGCCTACGTCTTCACCGACCGGCTCGCCTTCGCCGCCGCCGACTGGTGTCCTCGCCTGCACGGCTGGCCTTTATGCCGCCGTTGTTGGGCGTCTACGTCTTCACCGACCGGCTTGCCTTCGCCGCTACCGATTGGTGCTTCCGCCTGCACGGCAGACTTATTATGCTGCCGTTGTTGGGCGTCTACGTCTTCACCGACCGGCCGCCGCATCCGCTGACTGGTGTCACCGCCTGCACGGCTGGCCTGTTATAACGCCAACTGATGCTACCTTCTTCACGGCTGGCTACATCGCTGTCACTACTAATAGGCATCAGTATCGTCAACACAAGCTGCCTACGTTTGCCATGGCTGCCGACTGATTTCTTCACTTCCATGGCTGCATGATTCTGCCAGTGTTGATTGGCCTATTATGCCGCTGTTGTTGGGCATCTACATCTTCATCGCCGGTCGTCTCGTCTGCTGCTGACTAGTGCCCTTACCTCTACGTCTGGTTTATACAGCTACCACTACTGATGGACATCATCATCTTCCGTCGCCGACTGATTATGCTGCCGCCGATTGGTGCTTTTATCTTCACAACTACGCGTCTTCACTACCGGATTTCTACTTGGACACCTTCAACACATATCTTCAATCAAGCAATGACTACTCGACGACAAGAAGCTATAATTCTCGACTCTATGTTCAGTTGTTTCTCAACTAACCAAAGAGTCGGGGGCTACACAAATATAAGGCTCAAAATCAATTAATCAGCCAATGAGTCAACTCCAGGAGTCATTATCTTCATCTTTGCTTCGGAGCAGATGTTCTACTTCAGCAACTTCAATTATTTCACCGACAATTTTGGCTTCTCAGCGCTGCCATAATCTACTCCAAAATTCTCAAGTATCAAGTTCAAGATTTAATCTACATGTTCGGAAGTTTGGAGTTATCAACCAATCAGCTCGGTTTAGACGAGTTGGACAACAACATCTACTTTCCTCCAAGTGAAGCATCTACAACAGCTGTAACACTAAGTTCTACAGTCATCTTCGTAAATCAAGAAGCATTGCATTAGTTTTCTTTATGCACACGCTCACATCAAGGAAACTTCTCAAGCTTCGATATCTTCTCAATGGTTTGATGGATTGTTGTCACTGGCATTATCACCAGCACGTTTACTTCATCGGCCCTGACGTCTCCGCCGTTGCTAAGGGGTGACTACGTCCTCACCGTCGGTTACTTTTGTCATCACCGACTTTCATCGCCGACTTGTTATTTCGTCTTCACGGTTGGCCTACTATGCAACTGCCGATAGAGGATCTCATCGTTATCATGGACTGCTACACTACTATTGACTAGATCAACGACATGGTTATCTTCATCAAACATCCTGTCAAGTCTCTTCAACATAGCCTACTCTGCTGTCGTTGATGGGCAACTTCGTCATCATAGCCGGCTATCTCTGTTGCCGCTAATCATCATTACCGTCGGATGCGTTTGCCATTGCCGACTATTTTCTTCATCTTCATAATTGGTGGATTTCGCCATCACCGTTGATGCGCGTCTACGTCTTCATCGTTGGTTTGCTTTTGTCACCACCGACTGTTCTTTCGTTGTTGTTGGGCGCCTACATCTTCACTGCTAGCTGACCTGACTGTTGCCGACTGGTTTCTTCACCTCCATGGTTATGCAACTTCATTACATTTGATTGGTGGCATCTTTACTACCACTGACATCTTCCGTTACTTCTGATGAGCAATTTCGTCTTCATGTTGGTCATTTCATCTCCATGCCGACTGCGTCAGTTATTGCCAATAGACAATTTTGACTATGACAGAAGGACAAGCTATATGCTCAGGGGCTCATCAACTCAAGCGTGAGGATTATATCTCCAATTTGGACTTGTTCCGGATACATTCCACATGGATTCATAGTCATGAGTCTATTTTCTATGCTCAAAGACTGGACCAATTATTATTCCCCGTAAGGGCTATCAACCGAATACTTGCGCCAGTCGGGATTCAATTATTATATTTATTTTGGAGTATCCCATAAGGGATAATCATTCAGATCAGAAGCTATTCATATGAGCTACACTTGGTCTATATTACCCGGAAGATTTATTACTCGGGAGCATGTTACATGCGTCATCCTTTAAAGGGTGTCGAAGGCATATTTTTTGGCCTAGGCCTAATATGTCTGCAGCCCATATTTTCAGGTGTGGCCTGTCACGTTCTTTTAGGGACTTAGGCACTTTTCGCTTAGGCCAAAGTGCGCGTAATCAAGTGCCCAATACCTTAAAATCCTTTTATACCGCAGTTACTCAACTTTTTAGGAGTTGGTACAATGCATCTTAAAAGGTGTCAAACAGTAAAGCTTTATATAGCTGGCCCGCTGACTTTTTTATATAGTCATGGTGCTGTTTGGGTTTTTAAGCAATTGATTGGATACAATATCATTGCTTTTTGCCACGTAAGTGTGCATTTTTATTGACCAATATTATGGCTTAGGCTGATTATATATTGTGGTCATTTTTCAGGCGGTTGGTAAATCCTTTATGAGTTTATTTACTCGGATTTTATACCACATATGCCATATATTTCCAGGTGTGGTGGGACCATGTGTCTTCTAGGGACTTAAGCACATCTGTTAAAGCAGTGTGCGCATGGCGTATGCCCAATACTTTGGAAATTTCTTTATTCACAACATACAAGCTTCTTTATAGCTATTTTGCTATGTGAATTTTCAATGATGTAGTCAGCTTTAGGTTGCACGCATCATATTTTACAAAGCAGTCGGTATATCACTCGGATCATGTTATTCAGGGATTCACACCGCATATGCTATATATTAATATTAAGTCACTTGTTTGACTACGATTATCAAAACCACTCAGTTGGTGCATCTATTAGGTACATCTACTCGATGCACCTGACTTTATTTTTCAGCCCTCCACAGTCTTCATATTTGGTAAAAGTACTCGGGAGATCATGGCGAGGATGATTGAAGCACTCGGCTTTGGAGTAATCTAGTTCGAGAGAAGATTATCTTTCCGACTGTGAAGGTCTCAGGGGCTACTGTGGAGATTATGGGTACCCCATACCCACACGGCATGGTTATCCGACTAGTCATAGGGGATAGCTTATATCTATGGAATATGTAACCGATCATGACTTGGGTATTACGTTTCCTTTTATATTATGAAGCGGCCTAAAGTCCTGATTTGATAATATTGTAAAATAGATTTAGGAAACCGATACCGTATGGGTTAAGGTTTCTATCTTGTAATCCTGCCCCCCATCCTATATAAGGTGGGCAGGAGGCCCTCTAGGGGGCATGAGACAACCTGATCGTCAGATCAATACACACTCGGCGGATTCAAATCCCCAAACAGGAGTAGGGTATTACCTCTCATCGAGAGGGCCTGAACCTGTCTAAATCCTTTGTCTCTGCATCCATCCACTTTTAGGTCTCGTGCGCTACCCCCTTTTATTATTGCCGAATTCATGTTTCGACACCAGGACGCAGCTCAAGGGCCCGTTGCTGACGCTGGCCTTTGTATTCTTCCTGGAGATCGCCTACGTCGCGCTTCTGGTGGCCATGGCCGGACTCCTCGCCTTCCTCATGGTGAAGAAGTACTACGTTCCGTTTCTTCTGCTGTCGCTGTTCGTCCTCGTCGGGTTCATCTTCCTCGTCTACTTCTCCGTCCTCTGCTCCTTCAGCGTCGTCGTGTCCGTGGCTGAGCCCTGGTGCCACGGAGCCGGCGCGTTCGGGCGGGCGTGGAGGCTGGTGAAGGAGAAGAAGCGGCGCGCCGTGCTCTTCGTCGCCGCCATCTCCGTGCTTGCTGCCATAGTCTCGGCGGTATACAAGCTCTCCATGGCAGGCGCGCGGAGCAGCATCGTGGCTGGGTTGCTTCTTGGCCTCGTCTACGCGATCCTGATGGGCGCCGTGGAGTTGTTCGGTGTTTGCTCCCTCACCGCGTTCTACTACGAGTGCAAGGGGAGCAACGAGGTGGTGACTACTGATCAGTACGTCAGAGTGTCCACTGATGAACAACCTAAGCCTTGAAATTACTAGCGTTAATGTTGGAGTATTAATTACTGTGCTATGTTGTTTTCCTTTCCTGAATACATTGTGTGGTGAATATATATATGTAAGAATTAATGAGGTTTCCGGTGCAATACAATGGTTTTTCTTTCCCTGTTTTATTATTTATCAGTTGATTGGCTTTTAGTTCTTAATTTATCATTCGTCTAAATTAAGTTGCTCAAGTTAGATTTGCATTACTCCAAAGGAAAAATTGTGGATATGCAGCTCGCCTTAGTTCTTTTCAGATTGTTTACCGGATTATTGAAACATCAAACGTGTTTGTTCTTATGATTCGAAAACTATTTTTTTAAAAAAAGAACTTTTTTTTCAACTGTACTGTTTAAACCATTCTTTCGAAGTTAAGTTTATTTATCAATCAAAATATTTAATTTATCTCTTTAATCAAGTAGATAATTCACATTAAGTAATTAGCTCAATAATATGTTTTAAACTGAGATCTTTTATAGGATGTAGCATTATATTTGTTTGACTCCCTTAAACAATGTGATGATATTGCAAACAACATAGAAATGATGACCATGAAACCAATAACTAATTTTCCATTGGCATGACATTACCACATTCATACGTAACTACTACTAGCTTGGATTGTACTCCAACACATAAGTAAATAGACTAGTTAGGTGTAGTCTTGACTCTTAACATATCAGAAAGAATACATCAGATCAAATTATATTGAGCTCGAGCCATTTACATATATGATATTCCAATTGCTTTCAGTAAAAGCAGGGCCTATATATGGCCTTCAATCTAAAAAATATTCCTAATAGATGTAGTACTCTGGCCCACAATGCAACTGATCCCAAAGTCCCAAGTCAACGGCGAGCTTCTTGAAGATACCAGGTCAATTAATGTTTATCTCTTCGTACATACATTTCTACATATTTTCCTCAGGTCAATATTGTCTGCTTGGGCCGCATTGAAAAAGTTGAAATTTCAATCGGAAGAACACATGCATACTTCCGAGTGGCCACGGACACTTAGAACTAAGCAGCACAAGAATATCTGAAATAAATACTCTCTTCGTTTCAAATTATGTTGTAGATATATTTGTTCCAAATTAAACATTTTAATCGTTAACCATCAAATTTTATAAACTCTCATATAGATTAATATCATAATATTTATTTTTATATTGTTAGATTCAACATAATAAATATGTTTATAATACATAATTCACATGTCATTAGCTAGACTACACGGATTTCGAGAAACGGAGTGAGCATCTATTCATGTTTGATCATGCATAAACGGTATGCGCGGTGACACGCTGCACACGACAGCAGATGTATTTATTAAATATGCGGATAGAGATGAATATGCCAAACAACAGAGAATATGCTGATAGAGATGAACCGTATTTTATTGATAAGCAGCAATACAATAAAATTGTATACTCGTGGACAAACTTTTGGATACTCGTGGCATTTCAAACTGCTAAATGGTACGTTTTGTGCGAAAACTTTTTATATGAAAGTTGTTTTAAAATATCAGATTAATCCAATTTTTAAATTTGTAATAATTAAACTCAATTAATCACACATTATTACCACTTCATTTTGCGTGAAACACTTAATTTTATCTTCATCTTCATCTTCATCTTCAGGAGATTCAAACATCACCATAGACAGCTAAATGCAAGCAGATAAAAGAAACTACACCAAATGATGAACCCTGAGTTCCACTCGACACAAGGTTGTTGTTGGCCCGATCTAATCTTCTTTTTCTTTCCTATTCTTTTCTTTCCTTTTTTTTTTCTTTCCTTCCACCCAACCGAATCCAAACAGATCTTCTATATTCCTTTCCCCTTCTTTTTTCTCACGGGCAAAACAGAACCACGTCACAAGCACTAAGCCCGGGTAAACAACAAACCCTTGATGCAACACCAAAACCGACCGATAAAAACTTTTGAAAACTACAAAAATAGAACCATGGCAGCAAGCCGATTCCATTTTCGTAGGTCCCGACGATAACAGAGACACGGAGGCGATGACGACTCTGGTATAAAATGTGACCAGAACTCGAAACTCTAAACGAACTAGACGCTAAGACCAGCAACACGACAAGACGATGCAACACAAAATTCAACAAAGCAAAAACTGAATAGAACAAAGCAATGGCACAAAGATGGCTAGGGACAGGATGTAAATTTTTTTGTATGGCTATTTTCTGGTTATAGGTAGAAAAAAAACTCACCGAGCAACGAAAACTCTGATACCACCTGATGAACCCTGAGTTCCACTCGACACTCAAGGCAGTTGTTTGGCCCGATCTTTCGGTGAATTGATGATAACTACGATTTGGGAAAAACGTTGACGATCCGACTACAACCGTATAAGACGTTGCATTGTGCCTTAGCGATCGATACACCTCTCCGTGGATTGTTGATTTTGCCGGTGCAAATCAACCTTATTCCTGCAAGCAATCGAGAACAAGCAAGAATAAGATATAAAGCAACTGAATTGCTAGATAGACAAGACGCACAAAGATAAATTGATACATGATAAAGTGGGGTTCCGAACAAGCAGACGGACGGTCTAGCCGACACGCGCGCTGCAAGCGAAGTAGCAATGGCTAAACTTACAATTAATCAAAACCCAAGCAACCCTGAAGGGGTATCTAGCTACTTATAGGGGTGGGACAACGACCATGAGGATCCTAGGGTCGTGCTCCACCAGATTGGGGCGCACCCTACATGGCCCCACTTGGGCTAGGGTCCCAAACGAAGTTACAAGCCCAAAGGCCCAAGATGGAATTTCGCAATAAGGCTGGATCCGTTGGAAAGAGGATTCCGAGAGCTTTCCATCAAGTACTCACGGGCCGAAAACAGAGCTTGTATGGAGATTTGGCGGCCGTTTGAAATCAGCAATGCATCAGGTGGCCGAATCGGATTCCAGCACTTGGAGGCCTTGACCTTGATGTCATCTTGTTCATCCATGATGTGAGCAATGGTTGCATCTGTGGTAGCCATGGTCACATCACCAAAGGGAACGACTGAACATGGGACGACAGGATGTTTGCGATGGTGAATCCTTTGATTATTGATCTGAGAAAAATGTAGTGATTGGTGCATATTAGAAGAATCACATGAATCATGTTGGGACTCGGTCATCAGATAACAAGTATTCAGAATAAACTATTACGATCTCTATATGATAGTCGCTCTTGGGACGGGGGGGTGGATGGGAGTAAAACTTTTAGTTCCTGTCATATCGGATGTTTGGATACTAATTAGAATTTGTTTTATTTTCTTAAAAAACTTATATATATATTTTTTTCGCAAAATACATTGTTTAGTAGTTTAGGAAGCTTGCTCAAAAAAAGAGGTAGGGCCTAAAAGCTTGTAGAATGAATATATATTTCAGAATGAGTGAAGCCCACAATGATATAACTAACTCGAGTGGTGATCAGCATAACAATAAGAGCGGTTGTAGTTTTGATCACTAATTAATAATAGTGATACACATGTGTCGTACACAACATAATAGCATATGTCATACATATGTATATATACCATTGCATAATGACACACGCAGATACTAATAATACTAATAAGCTTATTTCTTTCCTGTCCATACCAATTAGCAATTTGCTTCACCGGTAGGGATCTTGGCGTATGCATAATCCATGGCCTCTCCCTTGCTGTCCATTGCTTGGCAGTAGTACACCGTGGCTGCTGCAAAGTAGAACAGCTGCTCTGCACCAGACAGCAGAGCATAGACGACCAAGAGGCATAGCCCCAGTACCATGTTCTTCGTGTACGCAGCAGCGACCAGGTTCACCGGGCTGACAGCTATCGACAAGAGGCAGATGGCCACCACCAGCACGAGGCCCTCCTTCCTCCTCACCCGCGTCATCAGCCGCCACGCCTGCCGGAGCGCCCGGATCCCGCGGCGCTCCGTGTCGCCCACCGACACGGCGACGCTCACCATGCCAACGACGTTGAAGTAGAGGAAGGCGAGGAAACAGAGGACGAAGAGGAGGACTTGCACGGAGAGCACCTTGATCAAGTAGTGCCGTTGCACTTGCATGACGGAATAGATTAGAACACCGAGGAGCGCCATGTATGTGACCCGGAGTACGGTGACCATGGCGATGGTTATGAGAGGACCCTTGAGATTCCCCTTCATCGCCTTGCGGAGGAGCTCCGGGAGCGAGTAGCGGTCGCCGGAGTAGGTGGAGGAGGCCGCGAAGAAGCCGACGCACTGATTGACGAAGCCAAGCACCAAAGCGACGAGCTCGACGGCGACGACGACGAGGATGAGCTGTGTAACGTCATGTTTCAGCTCCTCCAGGATCATGCGGTACTCGGCGCTGGAAGGGTCGGTGGTCTGGAGCTTGATTGCAAGTTCGGCCATGTCCATGGAGAGTGGCTGGACGAATAGGACATTGGTAGAGAGGACAAGGAAGCTAGGAAGCGCGATCAGGAGGAAGACAGGTGTGAAGAGCTTGGGGTTCTGAGTTGGGAGGACTAGGGCTTCCTTCAGGAAGGTAAAGCATGATGAGAAGTTAGCGCTTGTTCTGGCTGCCATAGCTTACAGTCTGCCACGAAGCTCGATGGATCTACCAGTTGGGAGGATGGATTGGTTATTCTAATATACAGGATTGCTACTAACTGGACTACCCAACAAGGGAGACTTGGAAAATTCAGTCTCAAGTCATTGTTGCCTTAAATTTTACGCTATGAAGACGTGGATTATCTTTTGTGCTGATAGCTCAATGGCTGAATAAATAAATTATTATTTATAATAATTATGCGAGGATGCAACACTACTGCACAAATGATATTTGCAAATGGCTAAAACCTAATTTTGCAAACGGCTGGGTGGTCCCACATCCGCCAACACGTATGTAAAAGTCGGTATTTTTCCAAGCGGGCAACACAACCATACGTGAAAACAAATTAAGTCGCGTGCCTAAAATAAATTGCCAAAAAATAAAAATTCCAAAAATCAAAACCCTATCTCGTAGCCATTACAGGATCCACTATGAGGCCACTTGAGTGGACACCCCAGGTAATATACCGTCGAGTGTCCAATATGACCAACACACGTATTTGGATGTGTGATCCATACACGCATAAATAGCCACCCAACCTTGGAGAGCGCTATCGCGCGGCTAGTCGTGCGCCACCCGACACACACTTGCTAGACGACAAAACAACCTCCTCTAGTCTCTCCTCTCTTTACACACACACACACTTTATATACATACTTTGTATACTCTACAAAGTTTATATATACGTATGTAGTATATACATACATATATGGCAAAATTTGCTACGGGACACCCAAAAAACGTGTAATTAGCTGTGGGACATCGTAAAACTTTGATTTAGCTCTAGGACACTCAAAAAAAGGTGTAATTTGCTAGAGGACATTGAAACCATTATTTTATTAATTTTAGGTCAAATGGAGAGAGAAACAACCAAAAAAGACGAGTTTGCCCTTTAGAGCCGAATTGTTTCCCCATCTAGCACTTGCGGCGACAATGTAGATGGCGCTATGCAGAGGACAGATCCATGGCGGAGCAGTGGAGACTGCATCATGCGTCGATGTCCATCTCCTCGTCTCCTCTCGTCGCCGGCAGATTCATTGCCATCCACCACTTGCTGAGCCACCGCCCCCACTGGAGGAGCTGGAGAGGGGCTCTCGGGGTGAGCAGCCGGCCAAAATCCTCGGCCTTTTGCCCCCCTCAAATCTCTGACCCGAGATTGGAAGTTGCGGCAGAGCCAGCCATGCAATGTCCCTCATGCTTGTCGTGCTCCAGCTTAGGCTCCTCTTCCTCCTCTCCAGCCTCATCATCAACACCATCCTGGCGTGCCCTCCCTCCATCCCGAATCCTCAGCTGGATTGGTAGCAAAATCTTTTGTTGTTCTCAATTTATCAATAGGGTGTTTTAGGCGATCTGATGCAGCCACATGCTTGCATAGCTCATCAGAGGAGATCATGCGAATGCCGCCATCGTTGCCCTCGCCACGGTGGTCCTCCATGGAGGACACCACATCACTGTTGTATGTTGTTGTGTGGGTCATGTGAAACGACGGCTTGTTTCTTTTTCTTTCTCTTTTTTACCTGCAGACAAGAGGAAGGAGAGAGGTCTGAGGGGCATTATCGTCTTTTAAAAAATTGCTCTCTCCATTTGATCCAAGAAATAATAAAGTAATGGCTTCAGTATCCTTTAGCAAATTACATCTTTTTTAAAGTGTCCTAAAGCCAAGTCACGTTTTTATGATGTCCCACAGCTAATTACATATTTTTTGAGTGTCCTGTAGCAAATTTTGCCTATATATATATATATATATATATATATATATATATATATATATATATATATATATATATATATATATATAGCGCTAAACCGCACCAGAGTGCATTATAAGTAAAACGCTCCCCACCTCTATCCTCCCCACGCGCCCACCCTCTCCCACGCCCACGTTCTTTTTCCCGCGCAACAACCTCCCTCCGTTCCTTTTTTACCCAACGCCGTTCCATTTTCTTTTTTTCTTTTTTCGTTACGCCATATTCCCTCCGTTCCTTTTTTTTCTCCGTTTCATTTTTTTCTTTTTTCCGCACTCCGCATTCCCTCCGTTCCTTTTTTTCTTGTTTTTTTTCTCTTTTTTTTTCTCATGCACTCTGCTGTTTTCCTTTTCTTTGGAGTAAAAAATTTACTAACAAATTACTTTCTCACCTAATCTTCTTTTAGTAAATAAACTATTAGCTTTCAGTCACACTATAACTTTACCAGTAAATCAATTACTCACGTATACATTATTATAGCCAAATATATATATATTTCGGTGTTATCTCGAGAAAGAAATTACTTCCGATAGAAAAATCTACTCTGGTCTTCACTCAGTAAATAATTTACTTCACAGAAAATCTGCTACATCCACTCAGAGAATAATTTACTTCACACAAAATCTACTACATCCCTTATCACAGTAAATTAATTATTCCTCGTAAAATTTACTCCTATCTTCTTTCAGTAAATGGATTACTTTAGAATGGCCATTAATTTTTCTGGCTTTTCCTCACTCATAAAATAATGCCTCCTGCCTTTTCCAAATAAATAGATTAGTTTTAATCTCGCCACACCAACAAGATTGACTCTGGTATTCTCTTAGAAAATAAATTTCTCCTAGACTGCTCTACCCACAAAATTTACTACAATCTTCTCTCATTGAAATAAGTTAGTCCCTGACTATTAGAGTAAAATATTTACCAACAAATCGATATAGCCAAAATAAATTACAACCACATTTTTGTCTAGTAAAAAACTACAGACATGTTTACAAAGATTCAGGGACACAGATACATTGATTCTACAATTAACAAAAGTAGACTCGCTATTCCTATTGCATCGGCAGAGGACAAATAGTAGCCGATGATGAAGCCTGCACCGGCAACCTTAGAAGTTCTGATGGGCAGGACTTGTTGGCAGCCACAGCAGATTAGCTACAGGTAGAAATCGATGGAGAAGGCCAATGACGGTTGGCGGCAGCTAGCTCGTGCACAAGCGATCCCCATCAAGAGAGGGATCTGAAAAAAAACAATGAACCACAGGGGCTTAGAATGCGCACAACAATGAACCATGATTACAAAAACTAAATTCAAACATGATCGGTAGAAATGGTGAAGTAGTGAGACTTGGATCTTATCGACAACAACAATGGTTCGATCCAGTAGACAATGCTAGGATTTTAGAAAGAAGAAAAAATGGGATTTGTTTACCATGCTATTCTTCAGCTGTGCAACCAAGTTTGTACTCCTAGCCTGCAATCAATGACATTGTGCAATAATTGTATATAGAATCTCCTCTTGTTCCAGTTCCAAATTCCTCAACATTGCACAGACCAATTGACAACTAAAATATAAAATTCAGACCGGAAAAGTAAGGAGGTGTTGAATGCATCCTGCAGGAATTTCATTGTGGTGAGAACCGAGCGTTGCTCGGTTGGCTAGCATCGCTGGTGAGCGAGCAGCCCGCACGGGTTCGATCCCTGGGATCGTCACCCGCGCGTCTCACCGGGATTTATTCCCAAATAAATAAATTTCCAGCTCTCCCGTGCCAGCGCCACAATAGCGCACAAGATCCTTAGGTGGCTTTGTGTATCTCATTAGCACGTGTGTGTGTATAGTTGATAGGTCTAGCATGCGTGTAGGGGTGTGTGTGTGTGGAGTGCGACGTATGTTCAGATACTACAGCTTGTACTCAAAGTGGAGAGCTCTCAAAAAAAAAAAAGAATTTCATTGTGGTCAGGCTTGTTGCTAGACTGCTGGTAGGAAGTCAGAGATAAATTCATTTTTTTACAGTGATTGATTGGTTCCATATATGGACTGCACGTCATAGCTACGGCAAATAACTATTCATATATTCATATTAGCATATAACTAAGCAAATGCACTATCATGCGGAACATATTCAGACGGATGGTTGTGATGGCGTGTTGAATAAAATTACCTCTTGATAGCACCAAGCAATTTTCGATTTTGAATCAAACTAAAAATAGGTAAAAATCATATCTCTTCAAAGCACCAAGCAATTTTTAGTTCTGAACCAAACTAAAACAAGGTAAAACGGGTTGCTCTTACCTGGCAACTTGATAGTCGTGCCGAAAGAGATCCTTGCAACCTGAAATTATAATCCAAGTTTGTGGCAATCTTACTAGCATAATAGGGCGCTCTCTAGCACAAAGAATCAAAATTGCAGCAATGTTAAATCTAGATGAGAGCATAATCAAATCGTACAATGTTTAGAAAACTGCTCTTGTCTTTTTTTTTTCAGTCATGAATTGGTGTGTGTGAATTGTTTAGAAATCTAACAGTATATACGGGACATATGGGAGATGTGTTCGCAAATTCATGTAACGAGACAGAAGCAAATTGAAGTGTATGGCTTAATTTAACCCGTGCAAATCAAAGCACAGTAAGGAAGATGCAACTAGCTAGACAGGGGACAAATCGATCTACGATGGAACATGTATGTATGTTATACAGCACCTGAACGAACACAAGCAATCACCACATATCCGGCGCCCGCAAATAAGCTGCAATTAACTGATCAAACACGGCAACTATGCTTTTTCAAAAAAACACAACAGCTATAGCCTATAGATATCGATCGAGCAGATAGATCATGGAGAAAAATAAAACACCAGATGAATAAAACATCGTGACTTCCATTGAACACATACGAGCATCCATCCATCCATCGATCCCTCAACATACCAGGTGAATTTCTTTGATGAAAGAACATACAACCACGTGACCACCTCCTCCTACCAATCCTTGGCAATCAATCGAGTCGAGGGAAGAAAATAGACAAGGCGGCAGGGGCAGTTACCAGAGATGTCCAAGCAAGAAGCCTTAGGTGAGGGCCAGACCTCACCGAGCCAGCGGCCTTGACCGCCATCGCCACCACCGACCACCGTTGGGGAGCCATGGAGGCGGCCACCATGTCGACGACGGGGAGGGGGTTGCAGGGCGACGGGGGCCGGTGGCTGAGAACCGAGCGCCCCACGAGGTTGGCGGAGCGGCGTCGCGGCGGCTTGGGTGGAGCAGATCGGCAAGGGCCGGCGGGAGGGGGGTGGGACGAGCTCGAGGCGGCGACGGCGGAAGGGAAGCCGGTGGAGGCCGTGGGCAGAGAACGGCGGGCGCCCGTCGTCGTCGTGGAGCCTGCTTCCAGATCCAGGCGGGGGCACCGAGATCCGGGTAGCCGAGGGCGACGACGTCGTCGAGGTTTCTCGATCGATCCGTGAAAACCGGGGTGGGACGTGGGGTGGTGGGAGCGTGGATGGTCATTGTTGTGTGTGTGGGGCCTGGGGGCTCGGTGGGTTTTTTTGGGAGGGGGGCATGGGGAGGGGGGGGGGTTGTTTAGGATGTGATGGGGAGCATCTTAGTTATTACGCATCGTAGGTGCGGTATAGTATATAGTGTATATATATATATATATATATATATATATATATATATATATATATATATATATATATATATATATATATGAATGATATCTATCCATCCTGTTCTTCTTGTCTTCCAGTCGAATTGCTTTATCAACCAACTCCTGAAAATCCTCATAGTCATGAGAGATCAACATAACTGACAGCTCATCCTTTAAGCCTTCCAAAAACTTCTCCTGCCTTTCCTCGTCAGTACGCACATCTTCTGGAGCATAACGTGCCAGACGATTGAACTCATGAAGATACTCTGCCACGGTACGATCCTTGTGCTTCAAAGCCCTAAACTCACGCTTCTTCAAAGCAACAACTCCTACAGGTACGTGTGTCTTCTTGAATCCTTCGGTAAACTCTTCCCAAGTGATTGGTTGTCGTTCTGCTCTGTTCATCCGGAAATGATCCCACCATTCTGATGCAGATTAGAAAAGGTAGAAGGAGAGGGGTTACACTAAAGACAAGACCTTAACCAGGTTAACACTGATCTGATGTGTGTAGACCATTATATTGTTCAAGTTGATTAAGCAAGCAACCTAGTATAGTTACACACTCATCAATGAACTACTCCAATGATGGGAATGCAACCATACCTACACACAAAGCAAACAACAAGTGTTCTACCCTACTAACTATTCTTCAAAGACACTTTGGCGGCATAGGTTCTAAGATAGATTCCAAACTTCACTCTATCTGAACACTTAAGATTCGACTATCATCTTCTTATTCCTCGATCCACTTGACTTGCAGAAGTTGACAACATCGACGTCTTCGAGTTTCTCCATCAAGATTAACGACTACTCAAGTTGAAAGAGGAAGGGGGAAGAACGACAAAACGATTTGCAAAGAATTCTAGATAAGGAAGAAAGGAAAATTTTCACAAATTATGTTTTCGGAAGATTTGTCCTTAAGGTTTGACCATTTGGCTTATCCTACAGTCAACCTGGCTCTGATACCAACTTGTCACGCCCGAAAATTCACTAGTAATTTCCGAACTAATTTGTGCATAAAATCCTCGTCCAGGAATCAGCCGAGGTACACAAACTGACAATTTAATATACAAATCCATCTTAATAATAACGTTACATACTTACAAAAGAAAAGAAAACAGCAGCGGAATTAACGGTCTAGCGATGGCTTCAGCTCCACTCCCACAGGCAGCTCAACTGGGGTATAAGCCAAACGTCTTCTCCTTCTGGATCCTTTATCTTCAACTGAGGTTTGATTGATTATTGCAAGAATGAGTATATGACATACTCAACAAGCCACACAGCAAATATGCAAGTGCACAAGGATACCAAAGGATGGCATAATATAGGCTCATTTGCAAAAGCAGCATTTAGCAAAGAGTTAAGAGTAGTAAAACAGTAGAGTAATTAATTAAAAATTTTAATCAACACTGAACAGCACACCCATGCTGCACAGGCCCAACCATCCTGAACAACCATACCCGGCTGTACAGATCTAACTCCAAACCAGGAGCTAAGCAAATTATTACCAGGTATAACATCCATAATTATTGTGAGAGGTGTGAGACTAATCACGAAAAACATTGCTCAACCCGCCCATAACCGCGGGCACAGCTATTCGAATAGTTTTACTCTGGCCAGAGGTGTACCACTGTACCCACAAGACACAACCCCACATCATGTCACCATGTGCCTCAATACCACCACGGTACCTCGGAAAGGAGTTGTGACAATACCCCTTGCACAACATAACCCATTACAGCGCACCTTTCCTGGATCATAATCACCCCCTTATAAACAAGGCATGGACTCCCCAGCGACCCCCGTGGACTTCTCGCCACTTCTCAGTCTGGCGCACTATAATGAATCACGCTACACAAAAGATAAAGCCGTTGCCCACGCTGGCTTGTGGTTAGCACGATAAATGTTTCACAACAGTAGCTCGCGAACCGGTCCTTAATTGTCATGAGCACGACCTTCAAAACCATGTGCTCACAACCCACCATTAATCATATTTTAATTACCAATTAATTATCATAACACGATTAACCATCGTGAGCTACCATTAAATATAACCATAAATAATAATGTAGTATATATGATTCATCCCATTAGTGAGCTAATGTTTCTAAGCATTGCTAAGCAATTATATATATAACATTTAGCTGAACCAAACCAATACATAAGGTTCAAGCTAATCAATTTATTACCCAAGGTATCAAGGAATAGGGCATTCAATGCAAATTGGCCATAACAAAGGAATAGGTTCACACCACCCGGTGACATTCGAAAATAAATGCACAGTTGAAATAAATAGAGAATTTAAATATAGGATCAACATGCTCAAAGGATTGTGTTTAGGATCTGTGTGACTTGCCTTGCAATAATCGGTCTTCAATTAATCTTCTTGATCACTTCCGACGCACTCACGAACCTTCGCAACGACGGAAACGACAAGCTAACACGCAAAACGAAGAAAAAGACTAATAAAAACCAAATAAACAATACATATAAAGTAAACAAACATGTAGATCATGATTTTAGATGAATTTAGCAACTTGAACCACTCAAAACCGAGTTACGATGATTTAGTTATGAATTTCCGAAGATTTAATCTATTAGAAAAACGGGAAAAAGAAAAACCGATGATGTCATGATGACCTCATCAATGGCCGGACCAAGATGGCGACCTCGCCGGAGATTGGATGGTCGGCTGCGACTTTGGAGGACATGAACACGTAGAGGACGACGAGACGAACCCAACGGTACTCACCCTCGAACCAAACGACGAACGACGACGGCCGGCGACGAGGTCTATTGGCGGCGCGGCTTCGGTCGGCGGTGGCGACGGGGCTCCGGTGACCGGCGACAGCGGGGAGAGAGCGGCCGGGCTTCTCCACACCTCGGCGCACCTTACGGCGATGACGGCGACCGGCGGCGACGACGGAGGCGGCGGCGCGACGCGGATGGAGCTCGGCCGGCGACGACGGCGGGGTGGAGCACGTGGCGGCGGCGCTACGAGGCACGGGAGACCACGGGAGAGGGGCAAACGAAAGAGGAGGACTAGGGGGTCCTATTTATAGCCTTGGATTGAAGAGATCGGACTCCTCCCGCAAGAAATCGATCCGGAAAATCAAAAACTCGGTTTTGGAGATAAACTCGAAAACGAGTTCGATTCGGATAAGATACTCAACGATTAGCTCCGATTTTTGGGGGTAAAGATAGAGGAGGATAAGAGGAATATTTCCCCTCAACTAATTTTAGAAAAACACAAGGGGAAAGGTCAGATTTGGAGGAGAAAAACCGAGCCAAATCGGTCTCAGTTCGGCTGCTAGAGGTAGAAGATAAACAGTGTTGAGGGAGGCAAATTAGACTTTTCGTCTTGGGCTGGCTGAAAACAAAGCAAAGAAAGAAAGAGAAGGGGGAAACTCGGCTGGGCCGACTAGGGCTGCACGGCTGTGCACACAAAAGAGGGGGGATGGGCCGGAAAGGGCCCAAGACTAGGAAGAGGATTATTATTACTTTTCCAATTAAATTAATCAATGAAATGATCTTTGAATTGTTAAAAATACTTCCAATGCTCAAATAATTCCAAGAAAAATCTTGAACATACTTGGACACTCAAAGTACTTAACAAAATTATAATTAGACCATTTAATGATTAATTTAATATGTGGGTAATTACTGAAATGCTCTTTGTATGATTAAAAATTAGGAATTGAGCTCCGAAAAAATCTGAGAAAATTCCAGAGAGTATAATTAACCATGGAGAATTTAATAAAAATTAAATCCATCCATGTCTTAAATTTAGGAAATTTTATTTCCCACATTTAACTTCACTTGTAAATTAATGAACATTTAATATAAATTCTAATAATAATTTATTAAATAATTTATAAATCCTGAATCAAAAATCAGGGTGTGACACCTAACAACAAAACAACTTAAACTCAACTTTACTTCACAATTCATTATTACATACATAACGAATTATATGTTTGAATGTTATATACCTAGAACCAAAATCTAACAAAAAAAAAGTTCAAACTCAGTTCAAACTTGTTTGAACAAGTTTGAACTTATTAGTAAAGAAGTTAATGTTCATATCTAAACATTTTAAAAAATTTCATACTCATTCAAATTGGGTATATACTCAATTTAAATCTTGGAGCCTATACTCCATGTAGCACCAGTTAATATATATATATATATATATATATATATATATATATATATATATATATATATATATATATATATATATATATGACAGCGCTAAACCATACCCAGGGTGCGTAATAACTAAAACGCTCCCCTCACAACCTACCCCCACCCCACCCCCCACCCCCACCCACCGGTAGTAACAATCTATCAGCCTATGAGTAAATGAGTTGCTACCACTCTCGCGCACTGTTGTTTTTCTTCCGACGTGGAACCATAGGTAAAAGAATTACTAGCAGATTGTTCACGACCAATATTCTTTTTGTAAATAGGTTATTGGTTTGTACCATCCTTCTCTTAGTAAATAATTTATTGCCAACTTTTGGAGAACATCTGATGGAGTTATAAAGACTTATAGGTTATATATGTTAGCATATTTCGGTGGATAAATGGTTTGTCATTGTAACATGAATAGCAATACTGTATTGATACAACCGTATACACATTTAACACGACTAAAAACATTACAACAGGGTATTTTGCGCATTTCACCATCGTACAGTAAAAATATTAGAAAAAGACAATCACAAATAAAAAGACAATGGGAAAAAATCTACTGATATGAGCCCAGCCCCTTGCACAGGCTAATTACATCATTGCTGTTAGTTCCTTTAACTAACTAGAGGGCATCGCCACTGGAAAAGCATCTGAATCAGACCGCCCACCTACAGTTCAGTTCATGCATTTCAGGCCAGATTAAGGACGGCGAACAAGACATCATTCCTGTGGCGCCATCACCACTGGCATCCATCAGGACTCGATCACTTAACTGTATACAATATATCCTCCTGTTCCTTTTCCCAGCTTCCTGAACATAATACAGTGAATTCACGAATCAAAAGAAAATTCAGATGGGAGCAAAGAAGGGGGTGCTGATTGCATCGTGAAAACAACACTATATCAATAGACCTGATCATGCAACCATGGTTTTGATCACTGCGAAAACCATGGGCGTGAAAGAAGTGTAGAAAAGAAAGAAGAACAGGAGAAAGGGAGCAGAACATATCGACGCTGGAGGTGATGCCGGGCGAATGGAATCGCTCATGGTGTTGTTTGTCTAGAACCTGCACACAAGCAACAACACAGCACCAACAAGCGTTATCAAAATGAGGAAAAAGGGTTTGAGCAAGGTGACCTTGTCCTCGGTGAACATGGAACGGGGAAGGAGTATCTTGAAGGATTCGGCATCCACCAAGAACCGACATGGCGCTGCATCAATAAAACGAGAACCTCCCAGGCGGCCATTAGTTCAGATGTGAGGAAGGAAGGAGGTGCAAGCTGACCACATGATTAAGATCTAGTCCACCACCATCGATACCAAGAACGCCTCGCTGCCTCGACCATGCCGGAGGCGACGCCTGGATCCGGCGGCGGGGGATCACAGGCACGCGATGAGGTGGTCGCCCCCTGCCGCGCCGCCGCCTAGGCTGCCGCCTCCTGTTCGACGAAGCTGATGCCGAAGGTGGATGGCCGGGCGGACGATGGAGAGGCCTCCTGATCCAGTTGTTGCCGCTATCGCTTAGAGAGGAGCTGCATTGATGTGCGCTCGATCCGCCGCCGAGGATGTAGCCCAATCAACGTTGCCGTCGAGGTCGATGCCGCCGCTCGATCTGTTGAGGCAGACCTCCGCATCGGCACTGCCGAGGTCCTCGTCACATCCGGCGACGAGGAGCGGAGGATGATGCAACAGGAAGGGGGCAAGGGTGGCGCCTGATGGTTGGATGGCGTCCACCGTCCTGTTGCCAACTCACAACTGGACGACGCGCCTCCACACCTCCAACGCCGACAACCAGCCCGGATCTCGCCCGCCGTTCGCCGATCCTAAAAAAAAGGGGTGGACAGCGACAGGAGTAGAAGGCGATGGTGGCGGCGCTTTATGGACGGGGGAGGTGGCGGCACCAAGGGAGGCACCGATGTGGACGGGGAGGGTCATCTCGGCGGCGTCGAAGCCAGCTCTACCTCAAACCCCCGCCGCTGGATCCAGGCGGAGGACGACCGCCGTCGCCGGATCCGGGCGAGGGACAGCCCCGCCGAGCCCGTCGCCCACCGTTGGCGCAGGCCATCGTCGTCGCTCGCTGCTGGCGCAGGCCGTCGCCGTCGCCCGCCGCCGGAGGAAGCTGGAGGGACCCCGCCGCCTGCCGCCCAGCACACCGAGGAGGCCCAAGCCGGCGACCGCCTGCCGCACCCGCAGGCCGTAATCGTCGCTGCCGATCCATAAAAAGTGGAGATGGAGGGGAAAGTGGGTGAACGGTTTCTACGAGGGAGAGGGAGGGAGTAAATATAGTTAGCAGATAGAGTTGATAGGAAAAAATTTAGGCTGGGTTCGTTTGGACGTTTTCCCAGCGCGCGCTACAGTGTTTTGCCCCCGCGCACGCTTTTTAAACTACTACACGGTGTACTTTTTTTGCAAAAAGTTTCTATACAAAAGTTGCTTAAAAAAATCAAATTAATCTATTTTTGAAAAAAAAATTAGCTAATACTTAATTAATCACGTGTTAATGAACCGTTCCGTTTTCCGTGTTACTGTAGCGCGCTGGGAAAACGTCCAAACGAACACAGCCTTACTCCGTTAAGCGTAGGTGCACGGGAGGTAGGGGTGAAAACGGGGCGGGTATTACCCGCCCGCCCGGCCGTATTATTTCGGGACAATTTTGGGTAAAAAATTTGGGTACCCGGAAGTTTCTACGGATAGCGGGTTCGAATACGGGTATTTTCTATCGGATATGAGATGGGATTCGGGAGGACGGTATCCGACGGATACGGATTATCTGGTAAAAATACGGGTATTACCCGGTTATATATCCGGATAATACCCAGATAACATGCCTAGCCCAATAAAGCACTAGTGGCCAAAAGGTCCACTAGTACAATGACCACCATCAACCAGGAAACCATGCCTAACAACCCAACAACCAAAAATACTAATTACTGTTCAGTGTTCACTAATCCCACTAAGCAATGACGCCGAGACTACGAGCGCCACTGGTGCTACGGTGCAGCACCCGTCGCGCCACCACCTGCTGCATCCGTTGAGCTGCGGCCACCGCCGCTACATGCCTTTGCTGCCAGCTGATCCTCATCTCTTTAGGAACAGGAAGTCAGCAGCTCATCACAAGTCAGGCCGAGTTTAGTTCCAAACTTTTTCTTTAAACTTCCAATTTTTCTATCGTATAAAACTTTACTACATACACATACTTCTAACTTTTCCATCACATCGTTTCAATTTCAACCAAACTTTCAATTTTTCCAGTTAAAAATCGATTGTTCCTTGTCGTATTGCTCGTATATCTTAAACCCTAATAATATAGTCACATTATGGATATATGGGGATGGTTGAATATATAGCTATTGTCTATATAGTATAGATGATCGTTGCTTTGACGTGATACCCGAAAAGATATTTGTAACCGATAGTGGTCGTATCCATCTAGGTACGTATTCGTCTCATATTTGTGCCCGATATTATCCGTGCTTGTATCCGTATTCGATACTATCCGTATCCAACCCGATTCCGATTATAAAATGTGGGTTAGGATATGGGAAGAGTGAGATCTGACCGAACCCGACCCGATTTCACCCCTAACGGGAGGGGATTTGATTGGGGGGGTGTTGCATGGGGGGTGGGGAGGGGTGGGGGTAGGGTGTGAGGGGGTAGGGTGTGTGGGGAAGGGTGGGGGTATACTGATCTAAAGCAGTCTTCAAGAAACCCACTAAGATTTGAAACCTGCATTACCCCGGGTACCTGGGCTTCTGTCCGAGACAGCTGGGTCACGCCAGCTAGCCCTTGGTGGAACTCGGGCTGCCTGAAATAGCGGCACGGTTCTGCTTTTGCCCGTTTAGCTAAATCAGGTGGAGCGGGCATGTTTGACACTCGTCCAAGACGGCACCGGTGGTAATGACTCAGCGCTAGAATGGTTGGGGCTCCCCATAAACCTGTTTCATTTATAAAAGAGAGGACTGCTTCACAACAGCCTGTGTAGCACGCCCATCACCCCAACTGGCCCTGAGGTCGCGCCCTCGCGCTTTTTGTCATGATTCATCTATTCTCAGACGAGCTTCTCGAAGATGTCTTTGATGAGTAGATAATGTAGTTATTTTGTATGTTTCGACACTCTTCTTTGTAGAAGAATGCAAAAACTACAAGGACTAAGGCGTGCCTGGATTCCAGGACGAGGCTGGAATCGAGGAAGACCTTGGTTTATACCTTCTAATCATATGCCTCCACCCTCCACTCCTTGCAAAAAGTGTGACTTATGAGGACTAAGGTGAGCTCGGGATCTAGAATATGGTCGAGTCTGAGGCAGACCTTAGTCTACTTCTTAAGATGTAGATCTTATATGTCTCTACGCTTCTCTTACTGAGTAGCGTAGGTCTTATAAGGACTAAGGTGAGCCCGGGACCCAGGACAAGACCGGGTCCAGGGCAGACCTTATGTTACATTCTTAAGACATAGATTTTATATATCTCAACACTCCTCTTCACAAAGCAGTGTGTAACTAGACGAGCTAACTAAGCTCGAGACCCAGAGCAATGCCAGGTTCGAGGCGGACCTTGTGCTACATACTTATCCCATAAGAAGATGAAGGTGGGCACGGTACCCACCAAGATAGGACCCCTAGCCGCACTAGTCTGGGTGTAGCTTTTTATTTTTAAGAATGGTTTGAGCATGCCATTTATTTTATTTGTAATTGTTTTGCCGGGGAAATGGGTATAGTTGGCCATAAGGCCGGAGGCCCGATGGCCCGGCCCACGGCACGGGATTTTGGCCCGGCCCAAGCATGGCACGGCCTGGTAGCAGTCGGGCCCGTCCTTGGGCCTATGGCTAGGCACGGTGGGCTGGCCCGGCACGGCACGGACCGAGGTTGGCACGATGGGCCGGCCCGGCACGGCACGGCCCAACGGTCGGCACGACCACGGCTCGCACCAACGGTAGGCACGAGCACGGCCCAGCCCAACAGACAGAGGCAGGCCATGGCGCCGCACCGCGCGCGCCCCCATATATAAGCGGCGTCCCCTCCCCAGCCCACCCTCGCTCTCCGCCACTCCACCCTAACCCAAACCCTAGCCGCCACGCCAGCGGCGGCGCGGCCACTGCTCAGCCACCTCCGCCGCAGCGCCGCTCCGCCTCCACCGCTCCCCCGCCCACCAGTTCTCCTCCTCCACCGTCCGCCGCTCCGCCTCCGCCGATCAGGCGCTCACCGACACCGAGTCGCCTCCCTTCCACTCTTCCAGATCCAGCCTTCCTCTTCGTCTCCGATCGATGCCTCGCCTGACTTGCACGAGGGGCGCATGAGGTCCACTGGCCATGCATGGTCGCCTGAGTCGCCTTCCTTCCACTCTTCCAGATCCATCCTTCCTCTTCGTATCTTTCCCTTTTGTTCTTCTTTGTCAGATCCCTTGGTCTTCTCGTGGATTCGTGAGCCTATCGTCTTCAACGGCAACTCCGGTGCTCCGGCTGCGCAGGTACAAGCATGAAACCCATCCTTTTTTATCTTTCTTCCTTCTCCATTTCCGAGCCCTAACTTTGAGTGTGCTTGGCTGCTTGCAGGTCGCAAGCTCGTTGCTTAGCGGCAGCCGCCGTTGAGGGAACGTAGTGCCCGCGATGGACGACGATCCTAGCTCAATCAACTACGAGTTGAGGACTATGTGCGCGGTGATGATGATTATGATGTGGAGGAGGATCGTGTGGAGGTGTACGGCAATACCTCTGACAGCCCGATCCGTGTGAATATCGACGACGACAACCCACCGGTTGGCGGCAGTGGCAATGGGACACCGACTGGCTCTAGTGCCACTGCTACCAACAAGAAGACCAAAACCTCCATGGTATGGGATGACTTTGAGGAATTTTATGAAACGACCAATGGTAATAGGGTTCGTATATCAAGTCTCTGCTAAATGCAATTACTGTCATAAAACTTTGAGTGCTCGTTCTTCTGCTGGCACTGGACATTTGCTTAGGCATATTAAGTCATGCAAACCTAGAAGGCTTGGGTCTAATGCTTTGCCTCAGTCCATGCTTAGATTTAATGCAGATGGTTCTGTTATTCCATGGGAATATAGTCCTGAAGTTGCTAGGGTTGAATTGTGTAGATTGATTTCTAGAGAGGATCTTCCAATTTGTTTTGGTCAATCTCCTACTTTTGTGAACTATATTAAGGCTGCTCATAACCCTAGATTTGTTTATGTCTCTAGACAAACTACTACCATAGATTTTCATAAGTTGTTTAATGATCGTCGTTCTATTATTGTTGAGCGTCTCAAGTCTGCTAGCTCTATTGCTTTGACATCTGATATATGGTCTGGTCATGCTAAGGAAGATTATTTGAGTGTTGTTGCTCATTTTGTTAATTTTGATTGGCAATTAGAGAAGAGGGTCTTGGGTCTTAGGCGCATTGATGTGTCACATACTAGTGCTAATATTGCTGAGCATGTGATTGCAGTTGCTGAAGATTATGGTATACTGATAAGGTTTTCTCTATTACATTAGACAATGCTTCTGCTAATTCTAAAGCAATGGAAACCCTTACTCCTGCTCTGTCTGGTTATGTTGCTGATTTATTTTTGCATCAACGCTGTGCGTGTCATATCATCAATTTAATAGTTAAGGCTGGACTTGACAAGTTCAAGCCCATGCTAAGTGACATTAGAGCTGCTATTTCATTCTTGAATGCATCTAATCAGCGCATAGCTACATATAAAAATGTTTGCATTGTTGCGGGTTATCATCCTCGTATGTTTGATTGGGACATGGATGTTAGATGGAATTCAACTTATATAATGCTTAAGCATCTCATACCACATAGGGAACCATTCACAGTGTTTATTAGTACGCAACATCCTTTTGTTAATGGCCATCCATTACTCACAAACTTACATTGGGCATGTGCTGAATCTGTTTTATGTTTCCTTGAACAGTTTTATAATTCAACTGTTGTTTTGTCTGGTGTTTATTATCCAACATCTCCATTAATCATGCATCACATTTTAGAGGTTGCTGGACATCTAAACACTTATGGCAATGTTGAAAACCTTGCAAATGCTGGTGGTCCCATGAAAGATAAGTTCATGAACTACTGGTCTAAAATTCCAATTCTTTATTCATTTGCATTTATCTTGGATCCTAGGGCCAAGATCAGGGGGTTTAGTAAAGTGCTTCAGATTATGGCTCAACTCATTGGTGATGATTACTCTGCTTATTTAACTACTGTTAGGGCTGCATTGTCTGATACTTTTGCTAAGTATGAAAGTAAGTTTGGTTCTGTTAGATTGCATAGTTCCAGTATTCCAGGCCCTTCCACTGGTAAGAAAAGGACTACATGGGGGAAGATTTTTGGTTCTGTTGCTGCTGGTGCCAGTCCAGGTGTTGGGCTTGGTG